TTCTCTGAAGCTACTTCCTCATTAGCAATACATTCCTGCAAAGTCATTCCCAAAATTTCCAGGGGAGCTAGCAGAGATACAGATGACCCTGCCCACATTTGCGCAGAAGTAAGTTTATGAGTAAGTAGCATCTTACTCATAACTCAGTGTGCACAGGATGTTTAAAAGGGAGAATAAGACCCTGTAGTGGCCCCTTCTACGCTGCCATATAAAATCCAGATTATCTGTTTTGAACTGGATTATATGGCAGTGTAGACTCATATAATCCAGTTCAAAGCAGATAATGTGGATTATCTGATTTAATAATCTGTGTTCTATGGCAGTATAGAAGGGGCCAGTGTCAAATTGCTATAATTCTGCAGAACAGATATAGTCTTCAATCTGAAATTTTTAAGGAAAGCTGAAGGCTATTTATAGTTCAAAACATTTTGCTGCCTGAGGGAAAGTGTAAAGGGACAGGGAGGGAGTGACATTTTACTTTAATCTTCCATGGTCCATGCACATGCCTCAGGCTTTCGAGTCAGGAGATGTGGCATCTCCTGACCCGAGATGTTTATTCTGCCCAAGAAGAATCTCAGTGCCACCCCGCCAGCAAATGGCAAAGGCAGTCAATATTCTTTGTATCTGGTAAGTCCTGAAAAGGTTGGTTCAGGCATGAGCTTCTATCTGTTCTGCAGAAAAGTTTGTTACAAGGTCGTGCAGATGGTCAAGAAACTGAATGAATTCAGAAATGTTTGTTTGATGCATTTCACTCAGCCATGGAAACCCTCTGGGTGCCTTTGGACAAAAGTCATACTCTCTCAGCTTCAGAAGAAGGCAAAGGCACCCCCCCCCCCCCCGAATGAATGTTGCAGAGAAAATACCATACTGGGTTTGCCTTAGGAATAGAACAGCAACAATTTTTCACCACCCTTCAAGACCATGGTGTTCCCACTATGTTTTGCAATAGAAACAGGAAAGTGTGTGTGTGTGTGTGTGTGTGTATGGCAGTCCCTGAGTTACAAATGACTCACAGTTAAGAACAGGGGTGAGACTGAAATAGAGCCATTTGGACCGGCTGTGGATAATGCAATCTGGGCCATGGATAGTGAAAACAGTTTCGTTAAGCGGATATCGGCACTAGCAACAGGCTGCCTGTGGATCCATGTGCCTGGCAAGACGAAGAATCTAACCCAATGTTCCCCAATCATGAAATCTCGCCAAGTTGAAGAAGAAGCCATGGAGGTACGCTTATTTCAATCTAGCTGGAAAGGGTGACAGCTTGTGGTAAGCCGTGAATGGAAGCTGATACCATACATAGCAAAAACAAGCATTTTTATACAGTCAAATCCTTTGTATTTCTTGCTCACAGCCCAGCTGGAGCCAGCTTTGCTGTGATTGGCAGAGCTGGGCTGACATCATAGCCAGCTGGGGAGGATTCCCTTGGAGGGGTGGGACTGCAGCACCTGCCAACCAATCAGAGAGCATTCCCCACTTCCAATGCAGATTGTTGCTCTCCAGTGGCTGAGGGGAGGGCAGTTGGACAAAGGAAATGCAAAGAGTCCTGAAAGGATTATCATGTCCCAGCCTCAGGATGAACAAAGAGGGCCACCAAGTCCCATGGGTTCTATTGTGAAGATAATTGTGTTATGAGTCCCCAGCATATGGGTCCAGCACTTCTGCTGTCCATTGAGTCCAAAAGCAGAATATTGTCCATGATGACAGGATTAGGTGGTCTGTTCCTGGGAAAGGGGAGATGGCATTGTGATGACCAGGGCAGGACCTCCTGGTGTACTGGAAGAGTGCTGTAATGAATGTTTCTTTTATGTCCAGGTGACTGTAACAAAGGATGGGCAGCCCTGCGAATGGATCCTGTTGTCCTCTGCACAGTCAAGGTTACGTGGGTCGTTAAGAGTTCATTTCTGAAGTAACAAGTAGTCAGTGGTGTAAGTGATGTAAGGTCAATGCAGCAGGGAATGAGCCAAACCACCTGGCCAGCATTGTGTAGTTACAGACAGGGTAGGGCAGCTGCAGGGTAAATAAAGAAACCAAAGTACAACTCCTTTGTGTGGGTTGTTGGAGGTGGTTGCTGGAGCTGGATTGTTGGAGAGGTACATGTGGAGGAGTTTGGAGTTCTACAAGGCTTGTGTCTCAAAAATAAAATTTGGACTCTGTATGCATATATGTTCTTTTCAACTCTACAAAAGACAACAACTGAGTTTGTTCCTTGGTCAAAGGCAAAAGGCAAAGGCGTTTGTGAGTGTCTATATTATTCTTCATTGTGTCAGGGGCCAATAGAGATGGATTGACCCTGGACATGATGGGTGCTTAAGTCCTTTGTGTTTAGAGGATGCCCAGGAAAACAACTGGAGGGAGTTCCTTGGCCACAAGGTGCTGGTGAAAGGTCACCAAGGTCTTGTGGAGTTGCTTCATACTCCAAAGTTTTATGAAACATAAAATATTGCATTACATATATATATATGAGGAGCCCGTGGATACCGTGGGGGGGGGGGGGCTGCAAATGGAAGCCAGGGCACCCACAAGACAAGGGAACACATATGCAAGGGGACCCATGGATATTGAAGGAGACCCTGCATATGGAAGCCAGGGCACCCACGGGGGGTGGGGGGTGGAGTTGACATGATGTTTATTGGGATGGAGATCAGGTAAACATAAGGAAAATGGGAAGGGGAGCTCCGCTTCGAGGGCCATGAAGGCCATAGGGCCAAATGGCCACCAGGGCTGGCTGCAGGAAGTGAAAATGGAAGGAAAAAGACTCAGGAGGCAAAGGAGACACAAAGAAGCAGATATAGAGGGTAACATGCTGTGGTGCATGTTTATTAAAGGGTTAGAATGTAATAAACTAATGAAAATGAGGAAAGATTAGCAAACAGTATCCCGGGCGCCAGTAGCTGCTGCTGGGCTCCTCCGTATCCTTGATCATTCCCATAAATGGATCTTTATGAAGTAAAAGGGCCCCTGCTGATGAGAGAATTTATTATAATTTTGACCAGGGGATGGGGGGGGGGGGGTCTGTGCTTGACATCAAGACAACAGCAAGTGAAAGAAATCTATCCCTCAGAAGTGAAATTCACTCTTGAAAGAGTCATTGGCAAGGGGGACAGGTGTCTTCATTGAAGCTTTATCACGAATCCATGTTTCCAAAACAAGTCAAATGTTTCAAAATCTAATTCTCACAGGGATAGAAAGTAAAGTGAAATTTTCTGAACAGGGGCACAGGCAGCAAAACAAACACCATAAGGGCGTTGACCCTTTTCTATGCTAATCAAAACTAAAAAAGATATGTTTCTAGTTGGAGTGACACTTAAAAATAGACCTGTTCTGGATTACATCCAAATTCAACTTAAGAACAAACTTATAGAACCTATCTTGTTCATAACTTGGGGACTGACTGTATAGTAAAGGTTTCCCCTTGATATTAAGTCTAGTCTGTCCAGCTCTAGGAGTGGTGCTCATCTCCATTTCTAAGCTGAAGACCCGGTGTTGTCCATAGACACCTCCAAGGTCATGTGGCCGGCATGACTGCATGGCGTGCCATTACCTTCCTGCTGAAGCAGTGCCTATTGATCTATTCACATTTGCATGTTTTTGACCTGCTAGGTTGGTAGAAGCTGGGGCTAACAGTGGCAACTTACCCCACTCCCCAGATTTGAACCACTGATCAAGAGGTACCGCTCCGGCAGGAATGTAACAGCACTCCATGCAGTCATGCTAGCCACGTGACCTTGGAGGCGTCTACAGACAACGCCAGCTCTTCGGCTTAGAAATGATGATAATTATCACCCCCCAGAGTTGGACACGACTAGACTTAATGTCAGGAGAAAGCTTCACCTTCTAATGGCAAATTCAAGCATCCAATTGTTTTCTTTTTTTAAATCCACAATTTATCTTCTTATATATTGGGTTCAAACTGCAGGAAAAGGGATTTATTTATTTACTTTTCCTACTTTTCATATTTTTATCCTGTCCTTCCCAAGAAGGGGACTCAGGGCGGATTCACAACAGGCATCCATTCAATGCCAACAACAGTAATAAACATTGTTTAAATCACGCAGGGATTCCACCCAAACATTCAGGCATTCCACCTAAGCATTAGGGAAAACTTGGTCAGCAGTGGAATACTGAGAGTGTGGTGGGGTCTCCTTCTCTGGGGTTTTTAAAGCAGATGCCGGATGGCCATCTGCCTGGAGTGCTTTGATTGTGTGTTCCTGCATTGCAGAATGGAGTTAGATCGGACGGACGTTGGGGTCTCTTCCAACTCTGGGATTCTATGTATTTATTTTCCCAGGAGTATTTCAAAATCCAGAGCACTGGAAACTGTATATTTTTAATGGTGCAAATCCCGCCCGGCCGGCCAGGGACAAGAGCTCGTTCTTTGCGGCGCGCGGAAGGTGCCACGCGGTCTCCTAGCAACGGCGTCTGCCGGCGGGGGAGGTAAACAAAGGCACGTGGGCGGACTCCGCGTCGAATCCTGGAGCGGGGCGGTCTGTGAGGCAGCCAATGGAACGCCGGGGCTGGAACGAGGCTGCGTTGTGACGTCGGAGGCGGGGGCTCCTTTTGGAAGGCGGCGGAGAACATCCCTTCTCTGTGTCTCTCTGGCTGAGAGGCGCAGATGCCCGAGAGGCGTCGAGGGGGAAAGAAGGAGGGCCATTGCTGGGAGAAGGAGGGAGCCAGGCTCCTTTCCTGGTGCGGGGTGGGAGACGCAAAATACAAGCAGAGTGAGTTGCACGAGAGGGAAGGTTTGAATTGTGAGGGCTGGCTTTACAGAAAGGCTCCTGAGGGGTCTTCCTGGTGGAGAATCCACACTGAAAAGAAGAGGGAATTGCACTATTTTCAATTCCACTACTTCTTCTTCATCATTGTGTTTATATATACTATTGATACACACATCTCCACAAAGGTGCATATTTTCTTCCTGGAAAGTTAGTTATCTCAGATTTATATATTTCTGGAGAGACTTCTGTAATTATTTTTAATTAAAGAGTAGATGGTGTAGAGAGAGTGGTGAGAGATGACTCCCAAAGTCAGCCTGTACGAGTTGGCAGACCTGTCCATCGGGACCCCCGAGAGCGGCGTGGTCAACTTCAACGCCCTCCACTCCCTGCTCCACGCCATCCTGCGGCACCTCAACCTCCAGGACCTCCAGGAAGAGGTGAAGGCAGAGAGGGCCCCCCCATCCAAGGGAGACCTCCTGAAGGCCGCTCTGGAGAAGGGCCTCGGGGGCATAGACAGCGAAGAGGCCTGGCAGAAGGAGAAGGAGCGCAAGGCCGCCGAGGGTGTCAGCGAAGATGTGGACTCCCGCCTAGCCGACTTGGAGAAGAAGCTCTTCCTTGTGGAGGCCAACCTCCTAGGAGTGGAAGACCAGGTCCGCGGCATCGAAGACCAGTTCCAAGGCGTCCAGACGCAGGTCCAGGGCTTCCAGGACCAGGTGCAAGGGTTCCAGGACCAGGTGCAAGGGGTGCAAGACAATGTCCAGGGGGTGCAGGATAAGATGAAAAGCATGGGGAAGCAGCTCAAAGGGGTCCAGCAGCACATCTCCGGCCTGGAGAAGCTCCCTTCTGGGACAGACCTGCTGGAGAAGTCTAAGAGTGGCTCTGGCACCGCTGTGTCAGACATGTGGCAGATGATGCAGATGCAGAAGAAGGTGGAAGCCAATGAGGATGGAATCAACCAGGTAGGAGGACTCTCAAGCTAGATGTAGCCACCCTCATTATCATTTATTATTTATTTACATCATTTATATTCCACCCTTCTCACCCCGAAGGGGACTCAGGACAGATCACAGAACACATACACGGTAAACATTCAATGCCGTTAGATAGGACAGACAACAGGTAGAGGCACTATGTCGACATTTTTCCCAACTTCGACATCCTGGAGGTTGTGCTCAATTCCGGCCACAGGGGGGTGCTGTTGCTCTATCCTCTATGAGGAAGAGCCTTGATCACAGACTTCCTCCTTCCTTTGATTGCTAACATTTTCTGGTATTTCTTTTATGGTACGATAAAATACCTCCCCGCTTAAGTGGTGCCTAATTTCTCTACTCATTGCTCACAGCTGTTTTCAAACTGCTTAGGTGGACAGTAAGCTGGGCTGAAGGTTGGGTGCTCACCCTTACCCAGGCTACGAACTTTCAGCCTTTCAGTTGGTAAGTTCTATTGCTGCTGTTTTTCGTGTCAGGAGCAACTTGAGAAACTGCAAGTCGCTTCTGGTGTGAGAGAATTGGCCATCTGCAAGGATGTTACCCAGGGGACGCCCAGATGTTTTGATGTTTTACCATCCTTGTGGAAGGCTTCTCTCATGTCCCCAGATGGGGAACTGGAGCTGACAGAAGGAGCTCATCCGCGCTCTTCCTGGATTTGAACCTCCAACCTGTCGGTCTTCAGTCCTGCCAGCAGAAGAGTTTCACCCACTGTGCCACTGGAGGCCCCTGGTGATTAACCAGCTGTGCTAAAACCTGGCCCTATTATGGAGAACTGAGAATCCTAGAGTTGGAAGAGACCCCAAGGGCCACCTAGTCCAACCCCATTTTGCCTTACAGAAACACACACTCAAAGCAGCCCTAACAGATGGCCATCCAGCCTCTGTTTGGAAACCTCCAGAGATGGAAACTCCACCACACTCCCAGGCAGCAGCGTATTTCACTCCGGCCAAAAGGAAGTTCTTCCTAATGTTTAGGTGGAGTCTTCTTTCCTGCCATTTCAATCCATTGCACCATTGTGCACCACACAGCCCTATATCCCAGAACATCAAGACAGAAAATCCCACAATATCTGCTTTGAACTGAGTTATCTGAGTCCATACTCAGATGATGTGGGATTTTCTGCCTTAATATTCTGGGATATAGGGCTGTGTGGAAGGGCCTATAGTCTCCAGAGCAGCAGGAAACAAGCTTGACCCCTTTTCAATGTGACATCCTTTTCAGAGATTTTAACATGACTAGCATGTTCCCCCTCAGTGTTTTATCCTACATAGCTGAACATATCAATACCTTCAGCCTCTCCTCATAGGGCTTGGCTTCCAAACTTTTGACCAATAGAAATGGATGAAATGCTCAGTACAGATATAGAAATCACTGCTATCTCTTCACATTTCAAGAGATGCCCAAAGGCAGGGGAGAAGAGATCTTGATGTGTTTCAGCTCTTCTGTGATTATCCCCAAAGACACTTCAAGGTCACCCCCGTGTTTTATGAGACTACTAGCCCAAGCATTGAGTGTAGGCCCTTTCTACACTGCCATATAATCTAGATTATCAATGCAGATAATCTGGATTTTATAGGAGAGTGCAGAAGAGTCCCTAGACTGCTCACTAACTCTGCTGCTCTTTCCCCCCTGCCATCCTGAATGCTCTTTCCTCACCTACCCACCAACTCAGGCAATCTTCCTCCTATATGCCTTTTTCTTATATGAACTCAAAGTGTTTTTAAAAAAAAATCTAAATTTACAGATTCATAAAGTCAAGGTCTTTTCTGGACCTACGTCTTAATAGTGCTTTATTTTAAAACTAATACAGTGTTTTTAGAACTTTTTCACGAATCTTTGGAACATCTCACGCCACCCTCACTGTTTGCCCTGGGAATAAAATGCCTCAAGGAGCCATGAGCAGAGTCATAAACAAACTGTTTACCACATAGGTTTATTTAGAAATCCTTTAGAGAAAATAATATGAAAATACACTTACGGTGGTGTAAGCGTCTGTGGCCTACAGAGGCATTATGTGTTGCCCTGAGGTGCAGTTACATGGGTTACCCAGTGTTTCAATTTGGGGAAAGAGGAGTAAATGGTGAGGCCGTGACAAATGAAAAACCAAAAATATTCAGTGAAAACTCTTTCCCTTTCTACACTGCCATTTAAAATCCAGATTATCTGCTCTGAACTGAATTATATGAGTCTACACTGCCAGACAATCTGGGATAAGCAGATAATCTGGGATCAAATCCCAGGATATAAGGCAGTGAAAGATCAAGCCGCAGAGTTCATACAGTGGGTCTCTGTGACCAAGCAGGAATTTGAACCCTGGTCTTGCAGACTCTTAATACAGCATCCAAGCCTCTTCATAAATTATGTAGGTTTTTGATAACAACATTGTGATCCCATTTCCCTGCAGTTATCAGAAGTAGAATTAATTTGTATTTGATCTAATAGGAGTTTTTAAGGGTATGAACGGAGTTTGAAAAATCACATAAGAAATGTCGTCAAAGGCTTTCATGGCTGGAATCACTGGGTTGTTGTAAGTTTTTCAGGCTGTATGGCTATGCTCCGGAAGCATTTCCTCCTGACGTTTCGTCTGTATTTATGGCAGGCAGATGACCTCACAACCTCTGAGGATGCCTGCCGTAGATGCAGGCGAAATGTCAGGAGGGAATGCTTCTGGAATGTGACCATACAGCCCGAAAAACTTACAAAAACCCACTGTATTCATTTCCTTTGATTCATATACCGTAGTTCCCGGCCCACTCCTGATTCCATCTACTTGAAATTATAGATAGCTAAGAAAGAATTGTTTTGAGAAATACAGAGGATATCCTAAGCAATAGCTGGCAGGAATTGCTCTATGAAAGACAAAGGTAGATCATACTTGACTCAAGTGGGAAAATGGATCAGTTCCAACATCATGTGCGCTCTAGGTCATATTTCTCTCATTTAGAGCTGCTGAACCGAAGACAGCTCCCCTTGTGAACCACGAGGAATGCAGAAAATGCCACCCAGCAGCGTCATGCCTTGTTCCCACAGCAGGAGTTGGTGAGGAAGCAGGGCACAGGGTCCAAAACTAGCCAAGCTTTAGAATTCCATTCTTATGCAGATATTATGGTAACCCAGAAGTGTCAAATCTTGAGGAGAAGTCAAGGTCGAATACTAAGAGGTAGCAGATTAAATAAATTGGTCCAACAGCAGGATTGTAAGGGGTAGAGCAGCCAATGGTTCATGAACAAACTAGGAAGAACTCTAGGAGCAAGGACCTGGGTACCCTCAAAGTAGAAAGCTGGGTAGTCCAGAGTTAGGAGCTCTGTTGACCAATAAGAACTAACAAACTTCAACCGGGAGCTTTACCAAATGGTCACTTAGATTTCCCCAAACTCCAGTAAAACCAATTCAAAGCAGATAATGTGGATTATCTGCTCTGATAATTTGGATTATATGGCAGTGTAGAAGGGCCCTTGGTCTTCCAGTCCTGGAAATGATGTCGAACACGAATTTGGGGGCCCTGCCTAGGCAAAGACTGGCCAGACCCAAAAAGAGGATCCGGAACACCTGGCAAGACAGCAATCACCAATTTTTTTCCCTAATTTTTCCCAAAGTAAAGTCTCACCAAATTGAAGGAAAGCCACTGAGATGTTTATTTCATTCCAGCTGGAACGGATGATGACTGCAGTACTCTGCCCAGGAGCTGACATCACTCACTGGGCAGAAAAGCACAATATTTATACCCTTCAGATTCAAAAGTTCCCATGCCCCCCCCCGCCCCCGAGCTGGCTTTGTTATGATTGACTGTAATGTCAGCAAGCCAGGAGGAGATCCAATGAGGGCCTTGGCCCTGCTTTTGGCCGGCCAGCCAATGAGGTGGAAGTGAGGCGGGCAACAGGGAAACAATGAAGAAATGTCTARTTGACTGGATTAAGAATGACTGGTATTTGCCAAATGACCCAGCGATAGCTTCAGGCTCTCAAGCCCCGTCTGAGTTATTGTTCTGTTTCTTGAATTCACATTTTTGTCTGGCCCCGAGAGGCCAGGTCCTTTGTTTTTCCTATTCTGCAATATGGAGTTAATTGATGAAACAGAGATGAGTTTCAGAGATCCAGGTGTGGCACAGCAGGGAGGCAGTGACAAATCCCCGGTTCATCGCAGATCAAGAAATGTCCTTTGTGTTGGGCGATCCATTATGTCCACAGACTCCATTAATCTGGATGACCTGGCTATCAGGCCTCAGAGGTCCAGATAGATAGAAACATTTATCTATTGTCCATGCAAATGGATCTGACTGAGTCCTTTGTTAGGGGATTATCAGCTCAGGAAGTTTGAAAACTCCCAAGAGCCATGAATTGCTGGTCCATGAGAAGGTTGCTTTCCTTCATATTTTCTTATATAGACATACATGCATATAGAGAATGAGGAATGGGGCAAGGGAGCATACACAGAGTTCATAGGAAAAGGGGGAATCATGCAGGGTCTAAGGGGAAGTCACGCCAGCCCCTCCAAAGTCCATAAAAGTTCATAAAGTTTGGCAAGAGTTTATAGAAGTTCCTATAAAGCTCATGAACGTTCATAAGAACTCATAAGAGTTCATGGTGGAGAGGTGCATGGAAGCTCAGGGGAGCACTGCGTAGTCAGAGTCCATTTATAAAAACAGGAGGATAGAAAGGAGATTATTGGATCAATTCAGTCTGGTGTCCTTGCCAAAACTATGAATTCCCTGATTTTGAACTCTTTTACAGAGCCCCCGGGGGGGGGGGGGGGGCACCTCTGATCACCAAAACACACACTTTGGCCCCTTCTACACTGCCATATAATCCAGATTATCAAGATACATAATTCACATCTGCTTTGAACTAGATTATCTGAGTCAATATACTCCAGTTCAAAGCAGATAATCAATTTTATATGGCAGTGTAGAAGGGGCCGGGGATAGTCAAGGTCGGGGTCTTTGGAATCTATACCTAGACATAGAACTATAATATCATCTACCAATGCTGGGCCCAGGATATCAAGGCAGAAAATCCCACAATATCTGCTTTGAACTGGGTTATCTGAATCCACACTGCCATATATTCCAGTTCAAAGCAGATAATGGAGGATTTTGTTCAGCTATGTGGAAGGGGCCACTGTCAAAGGATCCTGGCACATATGGGGGAATGATGGGCATACCAAACCATCTCCCCACATCTAGTTCTCCTCCAGCTGTGGAGGGGATATGCTGTCATTGTGAATCAGTGGGTCCTGAAGATGGTGAAAGGTAATTATAGTATAGTTCTTCCAGCATACTATGTTTAGTGGTATAGGATCTCACCTATGGATTGAAAAGTTCTTTGTTGTGGAAAAACTATGAAAAAGAATAAGTTGTATATTCTGAAACATATTATCAATCCAAACTGAATGGCTCTAGGTTAATAAATGCAGAAAGTTTATGCCCTATGGGAGCTGGCAAAGCCTTGAGAGAACAAGTCCATACTTGATTTCTTAGTGAGAATACTTGCTGTTCTCATTTTTAACTAACTTCCTGGCAGCAGGTGGACTGAAGCGGAAGAGGGAAAATAATTATTTAACCATTTAGGTATATTTAAACTACTGTTTAATCTCCTACTTGGCAAGTCTTCTCCATAAGGACTAGACATAGACTTCACTATTCAGTGACTTAATGATAATCCAGTAATTACGACATAACATTAGGCAGGGGACTCATCTTTGTTTTTTAATACTCTGTTGGCATCAACATACCTCATTGTGGACAAGACCATAACCATGTTTTAAGGGCTGTTTATTTTGAGGTCAGCTGAAGATCTAGGCCCTTTCCACACCGCTAAATAAAATCCCACATTTTCTGCTTTGAACTGGATTATATGGCAATATGGACTCAAATAATCCAGTTCAAAGCAGCTATTGTGGGATTTTCTGCCTTGATATTCTGGGTTATATGACTGTGTGGAAGGACCCCTAGACATTGACTTTCAGAGTCTTATCCATTATCTTAGTCTTTGATGTATTCCTTAAAAATCCTCTTTATGTTCTGGTTGACTAGCCAAATAGTGCAGCTGGCAGGCTTATTGGTCAACTGCCCCATATTTGATCAGCCACACAATCCCATTGAAGACTACCTAGTATGCTGTGAAATGGAGTGCTGTGCTAGGTTTTTTTCCAAACTAAATTTGGAGCAGTCATTCTCAATCAGGGCAGTCTACCTCACAGGGTTGTTTGCCTTGACATCAGTGGTCTGAATCTCTCTGTGTGTGCCTCACTCCTTCTCCAATTTGCCTTTGTGCATGCATCCACACAGCAACTGGAGGTTATTAGTGTTTCCATTCCTCTTTGCTTGGAGAAGGTGGATGAATGCGCAACAACGGAAAGGGCCAAGTATTGAAAGTGGGCCTCCACCGTAGTACAGGTCTTGGAAGTGCTCAGGGATGCCGGTCTCTCTTTCACTGTGACATATTTATACTGAAGAAAATGTTATGACTGAAGAAAAACTGATAGGGGTTAAAGTATTTAAATCATTGAAGAAAGATTGGGGAAAATATCCTATTTTAACACTAAGGCCCCTTCTACACTGCTATATAATCCTGATTATCAAAGTAGATAATTCACATTATCTGCTTTGAACTGGATTATATGAGTCTACACTGTCATTTAATTCATTTAAGAGCAGATAATCTGGATTTTATATAGTAGTATACAAGGGGTCAAAGAAATAATGACATCCCAAAATGTGTTGGATTGTTTAAAAGTAAGCATATAGTATTGTTTTATGAATAAAGGAATATATTTCAAACTGGAAAAAAAGAAATAGCTTTCTCCCTAGTACTATTACCATTTTGTCCTCAGCCACTGCTTTGAAGTGACATTAGAATCCCACTTCTCAAACTTTCACTCATCCAACGTTCTGTATTATCCAATGCAGTCTGCCTCCCGTCTGGATCCACAGCTGTTTGAATACATTGCAATGTTTTGGTGCCAAGCTAGTAAATACAGTAATTACTATATAACATTACCATGTATTGAACTGATTTCTCTCTCGATTTGTTGTAAAAGATTATATTTTGGTGCTTAATTTGTAAAATCATAATGTAATTTGATGTTTAATAGGCTTTTCTTTAATCCCTCATTATCCAGTGTTTTTGCTTATCCAACATTCTGCTGCCTGTTTATGTTGGATAAGCGAGACTCTACTGTAATGTGGGTGGGTGGGGTGGGCGTGATAGTAAGAGATCCGATTACTCATTTTCCATCACACACCTGTTGTGTAAACTGGAGTTCTTCTTTAAGTCAGTTTTTAGAAGAGTCTATAACCCTGATGCTTTCAGCATGCTGTCTTTCTCTTTCATAGGCCATGACTTTGTTACAAGATCTGTTGGATGAGACCAGCAACACGAAAGCAACTACAGCCCGCTTAGAGGACGACGTACAGAAAATCAAGGATCATTTAGCCATGGTAAAACACCCTTACCACCACCATCTTTTTATTCAGCTTCTTTTTGTTGGTTCTGGCTGGCCCCTGACAGTTGGCAGAGCTTTCAAACAAAACAAGAAGGATGTTTTGGTTTTTGCTTGATCTTATCCTTTATTATATGCTGTGCCCTGTGCCCTTAGCATTAATCAACATGTGCTTGTCTTATTGCACAGTTTTTACTAGTCTGGTGCATTCATTTTTAGACTTCTCATCTTGTTCTGATGTAAAAGCTGTTTTTGGGTAGAAATATGCTAGAGAAAGGTACTTTAGATCAGGGTTTCTTAAATGTTTTCCACTCGCAATCCGTTTCCTCCTGAGAAATGTTTATGCAACCCCGGATATATAGGCATATAAACTAGGTGTACAAATCAAACATTTACTGATAATAAACCTGTTTTTTCAGGCTGGATTTCCATTTTATATATACAACTGAAGCATTTTCTGCAGAGTTTGCTGTGAATGCTGCACATTGTTGCTAACAGATTAATGTAAAGTTGGCGTTCTGAAACATTTAACTATTGCCAAACTTTCGTGACCCCAACATTGAGCTAAAGAGATCCCCAGTTTAAGAAGCACTGCTTTAGATGATGGTTCTCATATTTTCAGAATTAGACTCTCTTCCTATTTCACTCAGTAAGGCCTTTCTGGTCTCTCGAGTGAGAAATGAAACAGGACTTCTACAGTGTGGAACCTTGAATATCCACCTGGAAGTATGATTTCAGTGGATCTTACTCCCACGTATCTCTGTACAACACTGGGGTCTTCAATAACTAGAGAGAAATAATACCTGAATAAAATTTAATAAATTACATAAACACTGGGTTTTTTTTCTTTTTGGGAAGCTTTCTTTAATATTGGGATAAAATGGGAACTATGACTGGCTTGTGAGGTGGAGGAGTAAAACGATTCTTTATTGTGAAAAGAGGCTTCTAGAGGATATGTGGTGCCATGTTTTCTTTGTTTATCTTGGAAGTAGTACCTATTCCTGTGCTGTGTACATTTTTGAAGACTGTGGGGGCATCCAAATGACACCTTTGGTAAAAACAAATTAATTTATTCATTATTAAGTTTTTCCAAATTAATTAAATACCCTATGAGATCCAGGCCTTCCTGAAAGGCCCAGTTCTAATTGGGTTTTGGGTTTGTGGGGACTCACTTCCAGGTAGTCCTGGAAGTTTGCCACCCCAAACTTTTCGGGCTCCTGGAGCTCAAAGGTCTGAGATGGTGCCCAACCCCCTCCTCTCAAGTCACAAAATGACCCCTTACCTGGCTGCCATTACATTCCTCCTCTTGCCCTCCTGGCACAATACATTGACACTGCCAAGAGACTTGGGGTGGGGGGGGGGTGTAGCCACTCTCCCTAGCAAGATTTTTGGGCTGTGTGCAAGCACCCTGAGATAGCCTCTATCACTGGTGTTACCATAAGATTTTGGATGATGGAGAATCTTTAGTCTTCCAGGATATTTTATTTCACTCACAACCATCATGATAAGGGATAGTGGATGTCATGGTACATGGCAGTCATAAATTCTAAAGTGTTTCAAGTTCTCTGATAAGTGAAGTAGAGACAAATTCTGCCACATAAACCCAGTGATTGATATTATATGAAATGAATAAAAATGTAAAGAAGTGGCCGTGCTGGATTTTGGTGGATCATTCATCAATATGATGCTGGGCTCAGGGTGACTGAAAGAAGGCGAGGGAGGAAGAGCACAAAATGACTTGCCTTTGTTGTTTTTCACATTTCTTGCCATGTTCCATTTTATTCTTGTTTGAGGCACATCTACATGTAAAGAGATCATGCACCTGCTTTGGCTTTTTGAATTTCTCTGCAGAACACGGGGACTTCTTTCAAAGTTCATATTCTTCCTTGGCTTTGCTGTATTGTTGGTAATATGGGAAGAAGGACATTTTGGACCTTGGGATTATAAAAATGCTCCTTAGCATAAGTCCTACTAGGTGCTGGAGCTCTGAGGATAATGCTGTAATTTTTTCCACAATAGTAAAGGTACACATTTGCACTCAGAGACTGTCCCTTGAGAACAGTTCAGGACTTAATGGTGGTTCTTTCTGTTTCTCTGCTCTCTAGGAAATGAGATGTTTATTCCTTTTTGTCCACAGGGTTTATACAGAGGAAAAACACTCAGCTGTGAGCTGGGCATCTCTGAAGGTGTTTAGGGAGCAGTTGCGGGTTTGTTTGTTTCCTTTTGTTGTGGATAAGATTGTCCCTGGGGCTCACTACTAATGCTCTAAAATTGTGGAGAAATAGACTCATTTTTACCAAACCCTGTTGCTGCATATTTACAACCTGTTTATACTCGAGTTTCATTCCTCATCAGCCAGAGACAATGCTGACTTCATCCAGCATTGAGCACTGGCTAGAACATTGGACTGCAAGTACAGGTTTCCCAGTTCATGTTCTCATAGTTACATGAAACACTGGTAATAACATTGGGCTTGTTAGCCTGACCTGGCTCACACAGTTATTGCCGAGCAATAAAATGGATAAGAAGAGCAGTGTATAACATCTTGAGTTAACTAGAAGAAAAGCAGTGCATACATGTAGAAGAAAAATACATAAATGAACATATCCTTCATTTCACAGATAGACACCCGTGACATGGATGATCGACTGAGAACTTGTTTAAGTGACCAGCAGAGTTTGGATCATGATGTGGTATGTTTCCTCACTGCTCCTCCAGATGAACAGACCAACCAACACATTGAAAATTGCATCCTGTTCCTATTTTATTAGCTGCATAGTTCTTTTTGCAGTGGAAGTTGTGAGGACATCATCAGACTATCAGTCAACTTACATCAGAATTGTCTAGTCCCACTTCAGTCCCAATCATGGCTTGGACGGGTTATCTTTTAGAACAAGTTCTGACAAGAAAACTCTGTGGTAAGGTCACCTTAGGGTAGCCATAGATTGGAAATCATTTGAAGACACACAACAATTGCATCCAAATATGAATTTAAACCTCCACAAAAGCCAATGCAATAATAAAAACCAATTAATCTTAAAAGTGGTACCATGATTTCTTTCCTTTTTTTGGGCTTCCTCCCTTCCTCTTTTTTGTATAGTACACTCATAATAATACTATTTTTTTTAAAAAAAAATGGGAATTCATTTTGCCACCATTGGAAAGTAAAGATATAGCACCTCATTATTTGGAAAAGTAATAGTAGCACTGTTAAATTTTTAATGCAGGCTCTCTATAGCAAGGGAACAGCCTGCCTGAGAACACGTACAGCACACTGATCGTATGGGACATGCAGCTGTTGTAAAGGAATCCTGCCATTCATTAGTACTCTTTTTGGTTTCTTTTGAATTCTCCCAGCTTTTGCTCACTCACCAGTTTGATAGCACAGGAAGCTGCTGTGCAGTGGTTTGTTCAAACAGCACCCACCCACCCCAATATCACTGGTAGATATGCGGTAGATGGCATTGAACAAGTTTATTCTGTTCAAACATTTGGACAAAATGAAGTTTTGGATCTTCCAGAAATTATTTTTCAATACTTACCATTGACCATTCTGGGTGGGATTGATAGGAGCTGTGTGACAAAACAGCTGTTGAAATAAAAGTTCCCCACTGCTGGCCTCAAATAATAGAGCTCTCTCCTCATTTGAAGAATTCTCCAAATATTGGCTAGGATATTTCTTGCCTACTTCAGCATTGAGATTCCCTACTAAGCAATAAATAAAGCTGAAACAGTGATGCCAAACATGGGAGAGAACCTGATGTCCATGTTTTGTTTCTCTCTAGAAAGACATAGAGAAGAGGCTAAGCCTGTTTCCTTCCCCAGAGGAAATGAGCAACATGGTGCGCTGGGAGGTTCTTGAGGATGTCCTTGTGAAAGGCAAGAGGAGCCCAACTCCTGTAAGTGGGGTATCTCGGAGCTCATGGGGATGGCAGGGAACGATGTGTAGAATATTTTTGTTTAATTGTTCATTCTGTACTCCTTCTGCACAATGGAGTTTATCCCATGTAGCTCACAATCAAGAGTAATGTGGGTTATTCAGGTATCAAGACCTTGCCCTGTAGAAACAGCTGAGTCCCATTATTGGGGAAAACAGGATATATTATATCCCTGAATGAATACACAATATAAAAATTTAAAAATAAAAATAAAAAGAGTAATGTTTCCTACTACAACTACATCACTGAAAGTGTGTATATATTCCTACATAGTCATGAGTACATACAAGCATTAGATGGTCAGAAAGGTCTCAGGGAGACCATGAAGTTGACCTTGGGCCCATCACTTTCTCTCACCCAGACCTAGTTCACAGGGCTGTTGGGTGGATGTCAAAAAAGATGAACTACAGGGAGCCCTCCATATTTGTGGGTTAGACTTTTGCAGATCTGATTATTATACTGTTCTCTGTAGGCATCTCTAGGTTATCCAATATGATTCAATGGTCAAATTCTAACAAAGTTGACCACAGAGTCATGTATAGTCTTCCCACTTTGTCAGGAGTCTTTCCCCCCTAATCTCAGCAAATGTACTTGGAAAAAAGATGAAATATATATTAAATAAAAATAAATATCAGAATGTAGCACACACTCTTATATCTAATCCTTTTTATTTATTTATTTACGATATTTATACCCACCCTCACTCACCCTGAAGGGGACTCAGAGTGGCTTACAAGTTGTTTTCCTCTGGGATGTATGGAAATCATCATGAATATACAGCTAGTGGACTGTGATGCATATTCTGTCATCTTAGTGTTTCCGGAGTTTAAAGAATGGGGTTGACACTAATTTTCCAGGTTCTTTTGGCTTCTAAGTACAATTAGAGACTACTGATCAACCTCTTTGTTTTATTGATGTGCTGCGCATCTGGTTACAAAACTGAGACTAAAATGCAATGTTAAAATACAATGTGGTAATTAATGTACAATAAAAGCAGTAGGTGCAGCTTGAAAAAGTGCATCTTAATGATGCAACCTTTTCTTCCTAGCAGTGTAAATGTGAGAAAAGATCAGCAGAGGAGATCTTTCTTTAAAAAAAAAAGATCTATACTACAATTGTGGTCTCTCTTTTGGCACTGAAACAGTGATAAGGTGTAAAGTGAGCATTGTGGGAACACAGTTCCAGAGATAGGATACCATGACCCTTTGGAGCCACTGTAGTAGGATTATGTATTTTCTACATAATTTTGTAATGCTTGCATAGTTATTAGAAAAAAATCTATTGTGAAATTTAGAAAAAAAGGGAAAAAGTCAAGGGAGAATTGCTTCCAATTTGCATACTAATTTGGACTAATCTCCAGACATTCAGATATATGTGTGCATATCCCTTCAAGTGTCCAGTCAACTTAGGACAACCCCATTAATTCCATAGTTTTTTATTAAACAAGGAATACTCAAGAGGTGGTTTTCTCTGGATGGGGTAGTTTGTATTCCATATGAGAGGCCTGCGTCAAAGTGTAACTGGTAAGAGATTAGTATGGAATGTTTGCCTCTTAATCTCCTTGTATCTAACCTCCTTCCCTGCAAATTCATGCTTTTCATTTTTCTGTCCCTCAACTCATTTCCCTTTTGTTTATTTCTAGGAGACAAGCCCAGTCTTGCGTTCTCCAACTGGCTCTACCTCCCCGCCAGAAGGCAGAGCCCCTGGATCTCCAGGATCACAGCCTGGGGCCCAGAGAAGAGAAGGAACACCAGGCGCACAAGCTGGTTTACCAGGGGCCCCAGGGGCCCCAAGAGGACCAGGTGTCCCCGGAGCCCAACCTGGAGCCCAGCCAGGCATTGCTGGAACCCAACCAGGAGCTGCTTATCCTGGGGGCCAACCAGGAGCAGTCCCTGGGGCTTATCCAGGCTACGTGGGAGCACCAGGGGCCCAGGCAGTTTATCCTGGAGGCCAGCTTGCAGGTCCGGGAGCACAGGCAGCATTTCCTGGAGGTCAGCCTGCAGGTCCGGGAGCACAGGCAGCATTTCCTGGAGGTCAGCCTGCAGGTCCGGGAGCACAGGGAGCATTTCCTGGAGGTCAGCCTGCAGGTCCTGGGGTTCAGCCTGGGGCCTATCCAGGAGTACCTGGAGCCCAAGTGCCTTATCCTGGGGCTCAGCCTGGAGTTTTTGGGGCTCAGCCTGGAGTTCTCGGGGCTCAGCCTGGTGCCCCTGGTGCCCAGCCTGGTGCCCCTGGGGCTCAACCCGGAGCTCCAGGGGCTCAACCTGGGGCTCCTGGAGCCCAACCTACCTACCCTGGAGCTCCTGGAGCCTATCCTGGGGCACCTGGAGCCTATCCTGGAGCTCCAGGAAGTTATGTGGTTTATCCTGGGGCACCTGGAACCTACCCTGGAGCTCCAGGTGGACAAGCAGCCTATCCTGGGGCACCTGGAGCTTATCCTGGGGCCCAGCCAGCCTATCCTGGGGCACCTGGAGCTTATCCTGGGGCCCAGCCAGCCTATCCTGGGGCTCCTGGAGCTCAAGCAGTATATCCTGGAGCCCAGCCTGGAGTTCCTGGGGCCGAAGCAGCTTATCCTGGGGCACCAGGGGCCCAAGCAGCTTATCCTGGGGCACCAGGGGCACAAGCAGCTTATCCTGGGGCACAAGCAGCTTATCCTGGGGCACCTGGAGCCCAAGCAGCTTATCCCGGGGCACCTGGGGCTCAAGGAGCTTATCCTGGAGCCCAAGCAGCTTATCCCGGGGCACCTGGGGCTCAAGGGGCTTATCCTGGAGCCCAACCTGGAGCATATGCAGCTTATCCTGGGGTACCTGGAGCCCAAGCTGCTTTTCCTGGGGCACCTGGGGCTCAAGGAGCTTATCCTGGAGCTCAACCTGGGGCCCATGCAGCTTATCCTGGGGCACCTGGAGCACAACCTGGGGCCCATGCAGCTTATCCTGGGGCACCAGGAGCCCAAGCAGCTTATCCTGGAGCTCAGCCTGGGGTTCCTGGGGCAGAAGGATCTTACCCGGGAGACCAACCTGGGGCTCCTGGGGCCCATGCACCCTATCCAGGGGCCCCGGGAGCTGAAGTTGCCTATCCTGGAGGTCCCGGGGTTCAGCCTGGAGAACCTGGAGCTGGGCCCACCTATCCTGGAAGTCCTGAGACTGAGCAAGGTGTTCCTGGAGCCCAAGGAGTATATCCTGGGGCTGACGCTGGGGTTCCTGGGGCACTCGTCCCTCCTGCTTTTTATCCTGGAGCCCAGCCTGGACCCCCAGGTGCCCAGCCTGGTTTTTTTGGTCAGCCTGCCATTTATCCTCCTGGATATCAGCCTGGTGAAGTTGGAATATCACCTGTAGGGGGTCAGCTTGCTGTGCCACCAGCACCCACTCTTGGTGTTACACCCCCAACATCTCCAGTATTGCCTTCCCTGACCCCTGTGCAGTACTCTGAGTCTCCCTCCTCGGGGTCCACTTTGGCCCCAGCCCGCTATGCTGAGACGGTGGATGCCTTGCGTGCCCTTGCGCAACTGACAGAACTCTATTATGCTCTGAGGGACCAGATCAACATGCTGGATCAGTACAAGTGTGGCCATGCAGATCTCCGCAGGCTGCAAGATTTCCTCACTGATGCAGGTAGGACTTACGGGTGTACAAGCAGGGCTTGAAAATGATTGCATTTTTTTGGAGATCAGTCATAGAATCATAGAGTTGGAAGAGACCTCGTGGGCCATCCAGTCCAACCCGCTGCCAAGAAGCAGGAAAATTGCATTCAAAGCACCCCTGACAGATGGTCAGCCTTTCATTTAAAACATGTTGTCCCTTCTCCTTCATTCTGGCTGTTAGGAAAACTGAGCTGTTGGGCTCTAAAATAACCCTCGCTTAGGGTAATTCCACCGAAATGTAGCAGAGTACAAGAAGTAAACTCCATAACCAGAAGAAGTGCAGAGAAGGAATAGCCTTTTAAACTTTAGGATGGCTAAGGATTGCAGAGTCAATCTTTAGGTTCAAGAGATTTATTAAAGTAAAAAAGAAATACATTCTTGATAGAAAAATCTTGGAGCTGACTAACTTATTAAATCTCATCTTCTAAAAGATGTGGAAGGTTAAAAAAAAGTCCATGTAGCTACATTTTTGCCTATGGAGAGGCCAAGTGTGTCCTCACAGGGAGAAAGAAAGCAGAAGGAACTAACAATGGAGACTGTGTGGCCTTCCCAGGGAAGATTGGTCTAAAGAAGTTCACACTCTCTTGATATACTGTATTTCATCACATAATAGTCGCACGTTTTGAAACTGTTATGCAATGGCAACTATTACGTATTGAAAAAGCTCCCCTTGAGACCCTTTTTTCTCTGTATAATAGTCCCTTTAAGAGTTCAGCTGCACCCTCAAAACATCGTGTAGAGGGGATAGGTGAATGGGCAGGCAGGTGAACTCATCTGCCCCCTTTCCTAGGTGCTGTACCAAGGGTAGTCGCACCCTTAATCCACTCACCTGGGAGAGTGAACTGAGGGTGCGGCTATTATGCAGGGATGAGCAAAATACCAATTTTGCCTTCCCTAAAAGGGATGGCAACTATTATGTGATGAAATAAGGGTAGTTATTTGGGCATTGCTATATTTCAGAGCTTTCCAAACATTACATTTTGGTGACACCCTTTTTAGACATGCATCATTTTGTGACATAGTAACTCAGTTTTACTAACAAACTGGAGGTTAAAACAACCCCTTATAAGAGATACAGATACATACACAAATTGTTATAACAAAATGTATGGGGATACAACATATCTCATTAAAATCTTTGATTTACATATTTTAAAATATATGATTTATTGTTTATTTCACAGACTCAGAGTTTTCTCATTATGTTTGTGTAACACACCTACACACTGCAGCCAACACACTAACATATGACACACAGTTTTGGAAAGCTCTGCTGTATTTTGTGCCTTGTTGTCGCATCTGCATCCTTTTGGGAGACCAAATTTGCACCAAATTTGCACCAAATTCCTACACTTTCACTGGGGCACCTCCTTGAGGTTTTCTAAAGTGAGGCAGAATTTGCTGACACGTCAGACAGATCTCAATCAAGACTTTACACATTAAGTGGGAAGGGAAAGAGTATCATGGCATGGGGAATCGATGACTAGAAACCTGAACAGGAGGATGTAATGTACCATATTTTATTGCATGTCCTATCTGAACATACTAAGTGTAAGCCTAGTCTATTGACAAGTCTCTTTCTTTTACCTTGGTTAGTTTTTAAGAATATTGCCATCATACCACCTGATCTTCCAGAAAAGCTTGCTACAATCAAGGCCATGGAAGAAGAGATGAAAACAGAGAAAGAGAAGGTGAGAGGTTGGAGCAGCATGCTCACTAGTTGTTACAGCCAGCTTTCTCAGAGGTGATTTGCTCAACTTCATAGGTACCATGTGGAAACCATTCTTACATTTCCCTAAGCTATTTCTAATAGCTAAATGTTTGCTTTGCTTTGCTACAACCTATTTCAGTGATTCCTGGATTCATGTTTTAACATTCACTCCTGTATTTACATTTACATTCATTTCTATTCTGACCAAGCTATTACTTCCAAAAGGCCCTTCAAGCAAAGTATCAACAAATCTTGGTCCTTTCCTTCTACCTACCCCTGCCCTCCAACATCCCCCATTTCTCCATTCATTTCTCCATATATTTCTTCCATTTCTTTTAAGATTACTGAAAGTTTTGGCAGAAGAGCCATTAAGTTCATCACACATGTTTTGCGGGTTTTTGCCTCCTGGCGATTGAGTGTGGAAGGGGGTTACACCCTCCCCCTTGGGAGAGAGGTAGCTAATCATAAAAAAAAGAGAGAGGAGATACAAAGCAGTATGTAAATTACGGCCTTATAGCCTCTTCCTTATAGCTAGCAAAACAAAAGGTGCTCGGTGCATTAAATCTCTCTTCGCTTCTGCCTCACTTACAATCATAGTTAAGATTGGGGGTGAGACAACAGAAAATCTGCCCATAGGAAGGGAAATTCACTCCTGTAAGAGTCATCATGGAGAAAAGGTGTCTCCACTGATCAATCCTTGTTTCCACAACTACACTTTAAAAACGTACCTGTTCCAACTTACATACAAATTCAACCTGAAAACAAAACCTAAATTATTTGTAACCTGGGAACTGCCTGTATTTGGTCTGGAAGTGGTGAGGACGCCTGGAAGAAGGATCCAACCACATTTTGAAATGCTCAAGTTCCTCATCCCTATTTCAGAGCTAAGTTCAGCTCTAGACTGATATAAGTAAAAGTAGAGATAATATCTCAGTTAAAAAAGCATATATGATTCAGGGTTTAATAGAAAAATTAGTACAGAAGCAAAAAATTATATGGAAAGTACAGCAAAAGGTTCCCAAACCGCAAAAAAGAGTACCAGTTAAACATGTTGCAGTAAAGCTTTTAGTTTAAAATGGCAATCTGCATGTGTTACATGAAACAATTTGGTCGAATAAGCATTTGCTTAAATAAATGAAAACATTTGAACCTTGAATGTATCCAGAGATGACTTTTTCTTTCACCAGCCTCCAATTTTGTTATGATTTTCATTTTAGTGGCCAAACTTATAAATCTTTGGCTTTTTAAAGCAGGCTTAGGTGTAGCTGGCCAGGCAGGCTTGTCTCCTTCCTCTCAGTTTTGCAGTCTATGTGTGCAAAACAGCACATAAATGGCTAAAAAAGGCAATGAGATTTGGGCCTGCATAAATAGCAGTCTAGTGTCTAGATCCAGGGAAGTCATGCTACCCCTCTATTCTGCTTTGGTCAGACCACATCTGGAATACTGTATCCAGTTCTGGGCACCGCAGTTGAAGGGAGATGTTGAGAAGCTGGAATGTGTACAGAGGAGGGCTACTAAAATGATCAAGGGTCTAGAGAACAAGCCCTGTGAGGAGCGGCTTGAAGAGCTGGGCATGTTTAGCCTTCAGAAGAGAAGGCTGAGAGGAGACATGATGAGGGCCACATATAAATATGTGAGGGGAAGTCATAGGGAGGAGGGAGCAAGCTTGTTTTCTGCTTCCCTGGAGACTAGGACACAAAACAATGGCTTCAAACTTCAGGAAAGGAGATTCCACCTGAACATTAGGAAGGACCTCCTGATTGTGAGAGCTGCTCAGCAGTGGAACTCTCTACCCCCAAGTGTGGTGGAGGCTCCTTCTTTGGAGGCTTTTAAACAGAGGCTGGATGGCCATCTGTCTGGGGTGCTTTGAATGTGATTTTCCTGCTTTTTGGCAGGGGGTTGGACTGGATGGCCCATGAGGTCTCTTCCAACTCTATGAGTCTATGACTATGAATCAGTGATTCTGTAGGTAGCTATTGTTACCTTGCCTACTGCAGCTATATGTTAGATATCAAATGTAGCTGCAGTAGGATTGGCTTGAGTAGAATCCTGCGCTTTCTCAATTTAAACTTTCTTGGCTTTACTTACTGCAGCCATGCTGCTGCAATCCAACATTGGAAATCTATGTTTATTTAGCCCTCCTTAACCATCCTCTCAATGGTGATGCTGCTAAAAGACTTCCAGCTAGACAGAGAATAGAGAAAATGAATGCTAGGCAGGTGCAAAAAGATTTTTAAGAAGTTTTTTTTTGTTTGGGACATTGTTAAGTAAGGCATGTCAGTAGTACTCAGGATGTATTATTTTGAAGAAAATAGCCATTTTCTGTAGGAAGTTGGTATGGGCTTCTTTACTTCTAAGGAATTCCATTTTGGAAAGTTTGAGTACGTTCACCAAAGGCAATCATGCATAATTAGTTTCCCCCCAATTATGTTTCTAGTTAAGGAAGATTGAAAATGTACTTGAAGGAGAACTGACAGGACCCGACGCAGAAGATAAGATGGAGGCAGCTGGTCATATCAACATGCAGATAGGTTATCTCAGGTAAACAGTAGTAGTAATTTTATTGATTAGCCCTTAGGCCATATCACAATAAGAAACAGAACAACAAGGCCTGACAAGACCTGATCACACTCCACGTAGTAAGTTAAAATAAAACACTTATAACAATACAGTAAATAAATATGATAAGACATGATAAAACGGATAAACTGATCAAGCTGAGTATATACATCATATTTCATTATCACCCCTACAATTTATCTCAGGTAAACAAAACAACGTGACCCATGAGACTAGAGAAAGCCACTGATTGGCAAATCTCACATACCTTTAGATTTAACCAGTTAGTACATAGATGGTTGTTTTTGATGTGACAGGCCCCATCAAAACCAACACTGCATGTACTTTGTATGGCATTATTATGTTTCCACAATCAAGAAATTGCAAAACTTTAGAGATAATGGCTATATTAGATGGCAGTTATAACTTGATGAAATATAATGTCTATTCTTTTGCTGTGTAACTGACCTCTTACCTGTGTGTTCAGGTGTGTATACTCCACAGAGCAGTACCATTAACCAAGCACAAGCCACAATTTGACTGTAGAAAAGGGTTGGCTCACACATGAATCTAGGTATCATCCAGCCCATTTGTAGATCAATGAACCCAACAATCCAGCTTGGTGCCAGATCCTTAAGGATGCCACGAGAGGCACCTCCTTGGTCATCCCAGGTGATGTCTCTCTGCCATCATCAGGTGTGTGGCAAGTTCCTACTCCCTATTGGCCTTTGTAAGCCACATCGAGTCCTTCGGGAGATGTTAGCAGGGTACAAATAAAGATAATAATAATAATAATAATAATAATAATAATAATAATAATACTGGGCAATACCACTCCTACCACACACCTCAGTCCCCTGATGGTACTCTACACCACCAGTGCCTAGGATACACTAGTGCTCAACTGCTCCCACAGAGTTGTGATGGAATAATATACAGTAACCACTAAAATATGAGGAAGGTGAGTGGGATGAAGTTTGGCATGAACTGGCAAGGAGCTCACCTGAGGTCTACTAAAATCATCCAGCTGGAGTGGAAACTGCATCCAGACCACTCTGACTGGGTGGGTGGATAGTCTACTAGCCAATGGCCATGCAGCAGGCAGCTAAAACCCCATTGGCTGGCAACAGCCCTACCATACACATTTGTCCCATGAGTAAGAAATTTCCCTTCCCTGTTATAAGAGCTTTCTTCCAGATAGCATAATGTCTGCATGGAGAAGGAAGTAGGTTACAGAGTCAGCCCAAGTCTAAAACTGAGGCCTTGATGAAGTGAGTACTGGAGAACCTTTTCTAGTGAGAGAAAGTCTGGAGTGGCTTAGGGATGCCTTTTTCCTAGTTACACATTCTTCCTATTCAGAGACTCAGAATACATGATGCTGGAAGGTTCTGGATACCATCTGAGGAGCTCAGGAACATGTGGCAAGTCCTTTAGGTTCCCTAATGAGCAGGTTGAAACATAAATGAAAGACAGAGAAGAGGATGTGATTACCATGTACCTGGAAAAGATGAATAAGCTGAGCCCTGTTCAGATTCTCAGCTGAATATGTGTAGGACTAGCATTGGGAACCGGGATATGCCTATGGACATAAGATCTGCCCTCCTGTTCCTGAGCACTCAGAAGTTTGTCTTAAGTGCATTGACTGCAAAAGGACTTGCCACATTTGCAACTGTATAGGCAGTTACAGAAATCCAACTTACAAATGACTCATAGTTAAGAACCAGGGTGAGACAACAGAAAAAGGATAAATCTACCCCTTGGAAGAGAAATTCACTCCTGAAAGAGATATCATGGGGAAAAGGTGTCTCCACTGAAGCTTTCTCATCAATCCTTATTTCCACAACAAGCCAATTTTTTTCAAAATCCAATTGTCACAGGGACAGAAAGTGAAGGGGAATCTTCTGAACAAGGGCACAGACAGCAAAACATACCATAGGAGAGTTAACCCTTCTCTATGCTACCCAAATAATTCTCATTCATATATATATATATATATATATATTTATGGCTGGAGTTAATTTAAAAATGTACCTGTTCTGACTTACAGACAAATTTGACTTAAGAACAAACCTACAAAACTTATCTTGTCCGTAACTTGGGGACTACCTGTATACAGTTCTAGAGTTCCCATGATCAAGAACTCCGCTTAGATTAGGTTTTCACTCAGGGAAGCTTTGTAACCATATTCAGCCTTCAATGGGGTTTCTAATTTTTGGAGCACTATAATTGCCAAACATGCTGAGAGAGCCTTTTTCAGATCTTTGTGTTCAATGTACAAATGTTTTATCCAGGCCGGTGCAGGATCTTGTAGGTATTTGGTCTCACATAGTCATGCCATTTCTGGAGAAAGAATTATTTAATTGACCTTTGGGGGATTTAGCATTGCCATGAGCAGAGTTGCTCAACAAATATGGCTAAGCAAACCATTAGTTAAAGCAGGGGAACCCTAGGAAATTGGGCCAAAAAACTTGATTCTGGCACTTGGTGTCGATCAGTGTGTCAGTAAGCTTCCTCCAAAACTGCGTCTGGGGTATATGTGCATGCGGTGGTTTTCTTCAATGCACAATGAATGTACTGCAGGATTACTTCCGTTTTGCTATTTGGCAATGCATGATCCTTCTCTGTTGTTGGCTTTGTGGGACAGAGCTACAGTGCAGGACATAGAGAAAGAACTCAAAGAGCTGAGAAACAAGCAAGAAGCAGGGAAGCAGTCGTTGGAGCAGTCAGTGACCGACAATGCTGTTTATCTCCAGGAACAGGTCAGCAAGTGAAATCAGGATAAGAAATGATAATGTGGCTTCCCTTGGCTGTGGGGCCTGTGGAAGTGCTCTGAATAAGACTCCCAGGTCTTGTTGCAGACTGTTCTTATTATGAGTGGGCCGTGGAAGTTTCTGCCTCACACATTTTCTCAGTAATGCACATTACAGTGAACATTGGTGCTTTCTGTATGTATTGATGTAACATATGTATGAGTAACCTGTGGCCCTCCAGAAATTGCTAGACTACATCTTCCATCTGCCCTGGCAACATAGCCAATGGTGAAGAATGATCAGAGTGGAAATCCAATAATGTTTGGAGAACCACATGTTGTTCAGCCTTGATTTATGGTATTTAGGAGTTTCCTTCATTTAAAATCTAAAATCAAATCAATCCTTCCAGAATAGATTGGAGTTGGTGAGTTTCAGGGCACCACAATTTAAGGGAGATGTTGATAAGCTCCAGAGGAAAGCAACTAAAATGATCAAGAGTCTAGAAAACACGCCCTATGAGGAGAGGCTTAAAGAGCTGGGTATATTTAACCTGCAGAAGAGAAGGCTGAGGGGGGACATGATAGCCATGTATAAATATAAATGTATAAATATGTGAGGGGAGGTCATAGGGAGGAGGAAGGAAGGAAGCTTGTTTTCTGCTGCCCTGGAGACTAGGACACGGGGCAATGGTTTCAAACCACAAGAAAGGAGATTCCACCTGAACATTAGGAAGAACTTCCTAACTGTGAGAGCCGTTAAGCAGTGGAACTTTCTGCCTCAGAGTGGGGTGGAAGCTCTTTCTTTGGAGACTTTTAAACAGAGGCTGAATAGCCATCTGTCAGGGGTACTTTTAATGTGATTTGAAGGCTGGCCACAGCAACGCATGGTGGGTACAGCTAGTGAAGGATAAATTAAAACTTTCTCTTTGTAGTCCTAACCCCACAAAAATGCCCTTTTGAAGATGCTATTTGCCCTATGGACCACGGGGTAGGGAGAAATGTCCCAGTGTACATATTTTCAGTGTACTTATGATTTATAGAAGCTAAATCTACATGATAGTTTCACATAGCATAAGATCATTTGATCAAGAAGATTTACATAATCCTGGTTTTACCATTTAGTAGTTGATGCAGTGTGAGGACACAACTGAGATTCTCAGTATTACATGTTGTAGGTTATTCCATGCAATGTTTCTCCAGTTAGATATCTTGAGATTCTGTCTGCCTTTCAATCAAGGGGCAGCTGAGATATACAATCTCAAGAGCAAAAGCAGGCTGATTGTACTGATGTCATTTTAGACCTTCAAAAACTACAACTCCACAATCCTTCCTGCTAATGCACATACTGGGTAAGGGGTTTGGAGAGTTGTAGTCTGGGAAAAAGCTTTTCTTGGTTCTTTAGAAGTAAAAGAACCATGATCTGTCCCACCTGCTAAAGTCAAACTTTGCCTTCTCTCCCTTGCTTGCTGCTTGCAGTTAGACAAACTTAGGTCTGTCATGGAGAACATGATGTCGTCTTCGTCCACCTTGCTGTCCATGACCATGCCCCCGACCCCTGAGCCTGGACTGGGGACGCATATCCAGCAGGGAACATGCGCTGCTTGCAGCTTAGATGTCAGTGAGAAGGTTAGCCAGCTGTTCAAGCGCTATGAACAGCTGCAGGACTCCATCAACAACTTCATGTTGAGACAGGCAGAAGGCAGGATGAAGAAACCCAAGCACCGACAGGTAAGGCTTGGATCAGCAGCCTGGCTCAGGTGGTTGACCTGGAGATGTTTGTGAGGTGGCTGTGAGCAAGCAGGAGGGGTGGGCATTCAGGCCAGTTAGACCTTTGTCCCAAATGAAGAAGGCTCATTTGGGACAAAGGTAGAGCAGTTTAGTTCTTTATTGCTGGTTCTGAATGGAGTCAGCTGTCCAGGGGTTGAGAAGGATTCCTACCCCACCTGGACAGGATGGGCATTAAACATGTGACTTCTGGCACATATGTTCTGCCATTTTGGGTGTTGCTTAATGCTACGTGGAGGTTTGCACCTTCTCTATGCTGTGTCTTTCTTCCCAATAACATTTGGGGATGTTCATGGACATAATCAATTTGCTATTGGCAGAAGAAGGACTGTACTTTCTATGGTGTTTGAGGTGATCTGAGATTTCCCTCTCTTTTGAGTAGTTTGAAAGTCATGTGCTGTGTAATGGGGTTATCAAATGGGACAAATGCTAAATGATATTTGCTTCTTGTTGTCTGCTGACCAAGATACAGTGTCTTATTCTTATGAACAGATGGTCATGATTTTTTAATTAAAACTTTCAAAAGCTTTCACCGGGAGCCTCTGGTGGCCCGGGGTTAAACCACTGAGCTGCTGACTGAAAGGTCGCAGGTTCGAATCCAGGGAGCAGTGTGAGCTCCTGCTATTAGCCCCAGCTTCTGCCAACCTAGCAGTTCAAAAACATGCAAATGTGAGTAGATCAATAGGTACCGCTCTGGCAGGATGGTAACAGTGTTCCATGCACTCATGCCAGCCACATGATCTTGGAGGTGTCTACCGACAACGCTGGCTCTTTGGCTTAGAAATGGAGATGAGCACCAATCCCCAGAGTCAGGCACGCCTGGACTTAATGTCAGGAGAAAAACTTTACCTTTACTAACCTTCACAAACTAGTGCCTTCTAGAAATGTTGACGTACAGTTCATATAATCTCCTAGCACATCATACTTTATTGAAAATGTTGGGAGTTATTCAAAACATTTGCAAGACACTAGGTTGGGAAAAGCTATTATATTCGAATAATGGTTCAAGTACTCATCAAGTCTGCCTAGCCCTCATCTTTTGGTAGGATCTCCAGCACTTTATTCCCAGTTTTTGTTCTTTACTGTTCTCTCTAACAAAGTGCCAGTATCTGCTGCTGCTTTCTATGTTGAAATGGCACTATAGTGGCATCTTGGGGCAGAAAAGAAACACTGCAACATCAGTGACATGGGCATGGAAAATGCAAATGTATTCCACTTAGAGTCGGAACATGTAAAATCAGAATTTATAGATATTTGCTTCCAAGTGCAAGCCACATACATGGCAGCTCTGATAACAGATCAATAAAAATTGGATTTTACAAAAATAAAGGAAAATGCATCTGAATTCAGGCATCAGTCAGAAAACAACTTCTGAACAAAATAAATGACAGGCAGAAATGTATTTTTATTTGAGTAAGTTTGATCAAATTGATGCTGGGCCCTTTGAATGTTTCTGAATCCCGTGTTACTGGGATATGTGTTACAAGAGCTTGAACTTCACATGCTCTGAGCATCCGAGGGAGGCAAGGGCAGACGGCCTTTGAACAAAATGTGCCAAGAAAACTCTATGATAGGTTTGCCTTAACATAAGTTGGAACTGACTTGATAGCACACAGGAACAGTTCTACAGCAAGGTATACATTTCTGTAGGAAGGACTGATGACATTAGTCCACACCTCCATCATCTAGTCTTTTATATTCACCAGCAAAACAAACCTTAACTCCCATGAGAACAGAATAATGCCTTCCTTATGAGCAGCAGAGCTGTTGCTACACAGTTTAGACCAGGACTCCCCAACCCAGTATCTTCCAGATACGTTGGATTGCAAATCCCATTATTCCCTGCTTTTGGACTGGTGTTCAGCATAAGGTGTCCTAGGATGCAGATTCACTGGGAGTTTTCCACTGAAGTTAATGACTGTTTTATATTGATATGTTTTTTGCTTATTCGTTTAGAGAACAGTGTTTTGATTTGTTCTTGAAGGGTTGGTGTTTCTTCCTTTACAACAGAAGCAGGTTTGAGGGTTGGTAGAACCATATCTCTTTCAATACTGGCCTTCATTAACTTACTGTCTTCACCTTCAGGATGAGGAAATGCTGAGCCAGATCCAAAACACCATCCTGCAAGTTCAGGAAGACTGCGAGAAGCTGAATGCCACTACAGGCAACCTCATAGAAGACCATCGCCAAAAGCAGAAGGAGATCGGTGTAGGTGGCCTTGGGGCAGGTTTCGTGAGTGGAGGGAAAGGGGGGAAGAGAGGTGGGCATTGCTGGATGCCACCAGGAGTGTGTTGGATTGTACTGCTAAAATGTAGCAGTGAAGTAATAAACAGAAGAGTTGCAGTTATGAGTTTCTGTTCAAACTGTGGATCATACCCAGCTATTACAATGAGCAGTGCCAGTGGATTGCCTTATAAATGTAACTCACCAAGCTCTGTTTTGCCAGTTGATCTGTTTGTTGTGGGAGGAGATATTTTTCTTTCCAAAGCTCACCCTTTATGGGTGAAGAAGCTTTAGGAAAAATCATCAAATGGCTAATGAATAGGACGGCACAGGTATAAAACTGAAAGAGAGATGTAGTGTTAAGATTTGTGTGTGTGTGTGTGTAAGTGTCAGGAACATCTTGAGAAACTGCAAATCGCTTCTGGTGTGAGAGAATTGGCCATCTGCAAGGACGTTGCCTAGGGGGTGCCCAGATGTTTGATGTTTTACCATCCTTGTGGGAGGCTTCTCTCATGTCCCTGCATGGGGAGCTGGAGCTGACAGAGGGAGCTCATCCACACTCTCCCCGGATTCGAACCTCTGATCTGTCAGTCTTCAGTTCTACCAGCGCAAGGGTTTAACCCACTGCGCTACCAGGCTTAAAATGTGAACCACTATCAAGATTTTGCAACTTTGGAAAAACTTTTATTTTTCCTTACAGATACCAAGGCCAAGATTTCTACCTAAACATAACTAAAATTAGCCAATTATGGTTGCCAAGGACTTTGGCATGCAATGAGCCATCTTAGCAATAATTGGTCATCTTTGTTGCTTTCTGACAACATTAACTTTGCAAAAGCTGAATTAATTGAGATGAGATTCCCCAAGTCCTTAACACTTAATGTCAGTAAAGCCTCATACCCACTTGAACAAGCCTAGTGCAGCCAGTTGCAAAAGAGGCCGCCAACTCTTGTCTCTTTGGAAGTTGTATAGAGAATTTTGCCAAGAAATGCTAGCATGTATTTCCCTTTCTACATGATTATGGAAGATGTAGTGATAGAGAAATCTAGTATAGTGTTATTCCCAACTACCAGAATCCCACTGGATACATTGGCTCTTGAAAACCATAGCAAAGTGCTATATTGCAAGGAAAATGTGATTGGGAAAAGAACTTTTTATTTCCTTCCCCATCTACTGTTTCTTTTGCTAACTGTAGGCAATAGCAACAAAGTCAAGCAGCATCTTATAAACTTACATGTTTTATTGGATGTAAGTTTACATAGAATCTAGTCCACTTCATGAAGTTTGTTTGGAGTCCATCAAAGTTTACGTCCAATCGCGTTCATTACCCTTTAAGGTGCTACAAGGCTCTTTATTATTCTTGTTGCAATACAGTAACACATCTAGCAATGGTGTAGCAGTTGATACAATGTTTGTATTTAGTGAATTGTTCATTTATATAACAAACAAGCAACTTACTGAATATGTATACCAGCCTACGCTGTGTTACTACAAATAAAATGGGTTGTCAAGCAAAGGGTGGCCCAGTTCTGAATGGGTCTGTGCTTGGCAATATCTGACCCCAGTGAAACATTGGGGAGCACATGATTCTGCTTGTTTGAGATGAAATTTGAGAGGGAAGAGAAGGAGGTTTGGTGGTGGAGGAGGAATGTTACAAGTAGTCAAGTTTGATTTCTTTTGCATTGTGTACTTTTTTAAAGCTGCTGTTCAAATCCCTGGACAAGCTGGAGCATGAAAAAGCAGACAAAGAACGCTTAGTGATGGAAATAGATGTGGTAAGAAATTTGACTTCTTGTCACACTGTGGATTATCTTAAACAGTACATGTCAGACCATGGTCAGATCTGCCTGTCTGAGCAATATTTTCAGAGGGTGCAACAGAGATACAAAATGCATCTGCACCAGTTCTTCTTAAACTCTGTGATTATGGGAGACTAGCACCATATTTTGTGCCAATTCCGCTGTTTTTTGTCTTCTGGAAACTCCCCAGGGACCAGTAACCAATAGCTCACATACTGGCACTGATCCCACAGGCTGCCACTTTGAGGTGGCTTGGTCTGAATCACAGCTTTGGCCTATGAAATCCAGGGATTCATAGATTCGTGAGGTTTTCTGCTATAATTTAGAGAGAACACCAGTTGGACCAAATCTGTTGCCCTATTCTTCCTCCATCTTTTAGAAAGCCGACAAGACTGCCCTTGCTGCAAAGGTCAGCCGCAGCCAATTTGATGCCACCACAGAACAACTGCATAAGATGATGCAGGAGCTATTAAACAAAATGGCTGGGCAAGAGCAAGATTGGCAGAAAATGCTGGACAAACTTTTGATTGAGATGGACTCCAAGGTAAGCAAGGCTCAGGAGCTTCCAGCCTTTCAAAATCTGGCTGGACATTGGAAGTAACTAATAGGGAAGTATGGATTGTGCCAGGGATCCTGTGGTGTGGAAGCCGGATGGGATTGCCAGATGCATCATGAAAGTATGCCCACCTTTCTGCATCCTCTTGGCATTTCTATTGCTGTTGATGTTTGCTTAAAATTACTGTGTCATAGCTATTTTGAGCACACCACAGTGTTTCTGACACACTCCACTTCTCCTTGAACTCTGGAAGTGTCCTAAATCAAGTTGCTGAACTGTCAGTTTGAGAGCTAAGCAAGTGTCAGATGGGAGAAGACTTTTCTGGCTTTAAATGCTCTCCCTTTGAGCCTCAAGCTGCTCCACTGAAGCAAACTGTGTTGACTTTGATGGTTCTTGCACACAACAGCAGAGGGGAAGCCCCCTGGGTACCTAAGCTTATGCAGTCTACCAGTACAAAGATCAGCATGTAAAGGGATATTGTAGCACCTTTGGGACAGAGAGAAAGAAGTTTAAAGAAAATAAGTGTTCGTAGACTGCTTTATGAGATGCATGGAGCAGACTAATAAAGTAAACTCAAGCTATAAAAGCTTATGTTACAAACATATTTCAGTTAGTGTCAAAAGTGCTATAAATTCCCTTTGCATTTGATATTCCTTTGAGTACAAAGATCATATGATACACCGTTAGATTTGAGTTGTGTTACCATTTTATGCTGGGTTGGGGAAAGTATGCCCCTCCAGATGTTATTTCACCACAACTCCCATTAGTCCTACTTGGTGTAGTCAACAATGAGGGGTGATGAGAATTGCAATTCAGTGACAATTGAAGGGCCTTACATTACCCAGTGTTGACTTAAAACACCGACAGATGGGTTGTGTGAATTCCAGAAACAGTAGACATCTTTGTTTCCATTTCCTACATTTTATTTTGCACTTTTGTACATTAATATCCACTGCCACATCCCTAACATCTTCCCAAGGGTCAAGTATGATACCCAATAGCTGCTTCTGGCCCAAGTATCATGAGGCAGCTAGCAAGGGCCCACTGGCTGCTGTCAACTTAAAGACCATTTACAAGTAGGGGAACTGGGAAACCAAACTACTAAAGACATTTTTGTCCTGTCCATTGGCTTCAAGCAAGAGACTATAATATATGTGAAATTATATTGTAGCATTTGTTGGTTTGGTTAAATCCAGGTTTCCTGAGATCCCACTCTGGCACCACTCTTTTTTGCAACAACAAACATGCCTTTCCAGAAGCTCACATAGGAAGGTGTCTGTGATGTATTGTATATTGGTCAACTTTAGTCTCTGTGACTTGAATATGCAGTTGAATCTTCTGTCCCTGTTCTGCAGCTTGACCGTTTGGAACTTGATCCATTCAGACAGCAGCTGGAGGAGCGCTGGAAGGATATCCGGAAACAGCTCAAGCAGCGGGCGCCACAAGATGAAGGTGATGAAGCTGCGGGGATCAGAAGGTAAGGAGTCTGAAGGTAATGGTCTTTCCTGGTATGTGAAATGAAGCAGAGTCCAGATGTTTTGTGGTAACATTAATCAGAGCTAGCTTTTTAAAACATTTGTGACATAATTGGAAAACCTTTGAAAAGTCACCAGGTTGCCAAACATGCTTCCTGTGTCCATTTTAGATCAAGTTGCCATTTCTTGGCTCCAGCATTAGACCTGGCTTCTACTACTTTATTATTTTGTATGAAAGGCATTGCATAAATAAATATAAAACTGATAAAAATAGAGAGCACAAGTGGCTAAATATTTTTGATCAAAAATGGGCAACAGCAACCACACTGTCGGTAGCTTTAAACAATTCTTCCTCAGTACATGAGGCAGGACATTGTGAACAAGCATACAGATGCGGAGTTGTCTGTTCTGCTTCATAGTTGCACAAGGTGGAGGATTCTTTTAGGTAGTGCCAGGTTGTCTTTTGATCTGCCCACTCTACTTCTGAGTCTATTCAGGGACTTTCAAGTTGCCCATTCTTAGTTTGCTTCTCTTGCTGAAATGTCTGAGGTAAATACCCTTAGCCTTCCCTAAGCTCTTAGTCTCCAAGTATATCCCCATAATTCCCAGTTGGATTGTCCATTCTGGCTGAAAACATAGCATGGGACTTATAGTCTAACACACTGGTTTTTGAGACTACTAGATTGTGGAGGGCTGATTTGAAGTGTCAATGACAGTCAAATGTTATGGTGGATCATGCACCACTGATCCAACCTGACATGAGCCTGCTCTTACATACACTGTGAGTTTATCATTAGGTAAGTATTTTGGTCCTTCACCAAATACTTTACTTTGATATATTCAGCAAGTTGCACCTCATACCCTGCATGTGCTGTGTTCTTTGAGTTCCTAATGGTTGCATTTGACACCCACATGGCAAGTGCAATTAATACACTGATCCAACAACAGAGGCAAGGTTTTATTGCCAGAAATGTTTCTGTTTGCACTTTCTTTGGTTTTTCTCAGGCATATGGAGCAATTTGTGAGGCAGGCCTGCTTCTCCTCACTAAGGGAGCACAATAGCAACAGTCCACAATAGCAAGATATGCATTTGGGAATAAATTTGGATTGACAATCACAGGTGTTCTCTTCCATTGGAAGTATTATTGAGTGGAATTTTTGTCCATGGTGATTGCTCAGGTGGCGCCTGTGACTTTTGCACCACAACATTATTTGGCACACTTCTAACAGGAGGTCTGGATGCATTAATAAGCAGAATAGGGTGGGAAGCAGGAAACAGTGCCTCTCAAACAACCCGATTTAGGTAAAAGCAGTATATTATCAACAGAGGTGTATCCTGGAGGGAAGACACAATGAACTACTGGCCCTACACCCAAATAATGTATGTGTGCCCTTAGGGAGCGCAACATTCTGCCCAGCCACCTTTGACACTTTTCTTTGGAATACACAATACAGCTGTCTTTGCAATGTTATTGTTCCCTTGGTATGGCCAACTGGGTGTCAACACCCAGCAACCTGGTTAGCTGTCAGCAATGTAGTAGCCCTGTAGAGCCTACCAGGGTTTGGAAAAGTTAATAAAATACCCAGGATGGGTGAAGGATTTTAAAAAGCTCCAATCAATAAAGCAAACTACTCCAAACTCTGTGGCTTTCTCTCATCTGCATGGACCCTTTTCGAGATGCACAGTATTCTATAGGAAAAGGAACTAATTGCACCCTTGTCAATGAAATGGTTGAACTCCTAGTAAATTTTGTGTCTTTTAATTCATTATCAACAGTTCATTTCATATTAAATCCATGTCAGATTTATTTGCATATAAATGCTGTTGTTGTCATGCACCTTCACATCTAACATACGGTGGTCTTAAAGTGAGAACCTATCATAAGGATTTCTTGCCAAGATTTGATCAGAATTGGATTGCCTTTCCCTTCCTCCCAGGCTGAGAGAGTATGGCTTTCCCAAGGTCATTCGGTGGGTTTCTATGGCAAAGTGGGGATTCAGACCTTAGTCTCCAGAATTGTAGTCCAACATGCAAACCAATACACCTTGCAACTGAAATCCTGCCCCCACCTGCTTGATACTGTATATGCAAATATATGCATCCAAAAATAATTGAGTATGAGCAGGGGATTTTAGCTGCTAATTATAAGTAGGAGAATTTTAATGAACTGGAACTATTTTATGAGGAATTCATTTTAATTAATTTCAGCTAATATTAAATCTATTTTATATCTGTATCTAATTTAATATATTGGGATTCTGTGTAAATTCTTTTTAAAAACCAAGCTGCAAATAAAAGTGTAAGTTTGACCAGCCTGAGCAGTGCCACCATTACAGTTGTTCCCCATTTTCTTGGACCCACCAGGACTGTTGAGGATGACCCTCATTTGTGTCCATTTCAGTATCATCTGGATTATTTTTAATCTGATGTTTCTGTTTTGAACTGCCACTGGCTCTCTTCAGCTGATATTATTTCCTCCACTGTTTGAAGCTCTCTCACCCCTTGGTTGCCACAAGATGGTGCTGGTGTGGTGTGTATGTGTGTGGATACACAGGGGAGCACACAGGTTCTCACCTGCTCATTCAGGGGAAGGGGGCAGGAGGCCTGAGCCCTGCAAAAGTAGTGATTCCTTCTGGCTCCCTGCCAGGCAGGGGGTGATACGCCAAGCAGCCCTGTGCTCTGTGCCCCTCCTGAAGTAAAAGGGCAGCAGTGGCTGTCTGCCAGAACCTCTTCCAGGCTCCTACTTCATCCTTGGCTCCGATTACTGTTTTCACCCCCACTCCACCCCTTTCCTTTAATTGGATCTAATATTGACTGTCTGCAGAGGAGTGGAAAAGTAGACAGCAAGCCAACCTTGACAGACAAGAAGCCTGTTTCTCCATGCAAAGTAGTTGTGTTTGTATGTTTGTATACTTTGTTCCTGCTCTGCCTCCAGGGTGATCTCTAAAGCACATGGAGGCTTGAAGATATTGCTACATGTCCCTGCCCCACTGCTCCAATTACAATTTCCCAGAAATAGCTGCAGGGAGAGTGCCAGGTCCTGACTCACACTCTTCCTCACACACATACACACCTTTCCCCTGAATTGTTGATGTCATTTGGCTTAGGTGAAAGTGTGTCATGTTTAGGTCTAGAGGATCTCCATAGCTACCCAACATCCATAGGCAAAATATGTTAAAGCACTGTTTCTTAATCTGAGGGTCGGGACCCCTGGGGGGGGGTAATGAGGGGGTCGCAGAAATGTGTTCAGAAAACATATTTCTGATGGTCTTAGGAACCCCTTTGGCAGGGAAGGCTGAAGATCCCTCCTCCTGTCCTTGTCTTCCTTTTTGGAAACAGTGAATCCTCCCACCAAAAGCCCTCCTCTTGCTGTGATTGACCAGCCTCTCAGCTGGCCTCTCAGCCAAGGGAGGGCTGTTTCTGAGACTCCAGGTGGGGGAGGGGAGAGCAGGCATGCTTCGCTCATGATAGCATAGTGCACATGTGCGGGCAAGGAAGAGCGTGTGAAACTGGAGGGAGGTTCACGCTAGCAAGTCCTTTCAATGCATGGGGGTTCTGTGTGGGAAGTTTGGCCCAATTCTGTCATTGGTAGGGTTCAGAATTCTATTTGATTGTAGGTGAACTATAAATCCCAGCAACCACAACTCCCATATGTCAAAGTCTATTTTCCCCAAACCCCACCAGTGTTCACATTTGGGCAAGCAACAAGAACGGACAAACAAAAGGTCATTACAAATAGATGGTCTACTTCAACTGGGTGAAAAATAGAGGAACCAAGGATCATATTAAAAAAATACAAAGACTTTACCAGTGGCTGGATCTGCAAGATTAGTAGAAATATACTGTGGTTGAGACGAGGGGTAGAGGGAGGGAGGAGAAAAATATAATCTACACAAGTTTAAATTAGCATAATGCCATTAATACCTGTTGAATTACTCAGGATCTATGCTTGTAACACTTGAAATATAATTTGCTGATTTGTGTTTATAGTATAATAAAATATGTAAAAAAAACCTGAGTATTTGTGCAAAGTTTGGTCCAGATCCATCATTGTTTGGGTCCACAGTGCTCTCTGGATGTAGGTGAACTACAACTCTAAAACTCAAGGTCAATGCCCACCAAACTCTTCCAGTATTTCCTGTTGGTCATGGGAGTTCTATGTGCCAAGATTGGTTCAATTTTGTCATTGGTGGGGTTCAGAATACTCTTTGATAGTAGGTTAATTATAAATCCCAGCAACTACAACTCCCAAATGACAAAATCAATTTGGCGTATCACTCCAAATTTGGTCCAGTGAATGAAAATACATCCTGCATATCAGGTATTTACATTACGATTCATAAAAGTAGCAAAATTGCAGTTATGAAATAGCAATGAAAATAATATTATGGTTGGGGGTCACCACAACATGAGGAACTATATTAAGGGGTCAGGGCATTAGGAAGGTTGAGAAATATGTGCTAAAGAACTTGCTTTTTAAATGATAATAGTTAAGGGTTCATATAGGCCACTGGTGCACAACCAGTGGTCCTCCAGATGTTTGGGACTCCAACTCCCAAGAAGTCCTGGCCAGCTTGTTCAATGGTCAGGAATTCTGGGAGCTGAAATCCAAAACACATGGAGGGCCACAGGTGCACCAGTGATACAGACAACGTAGGGATGGAAGAAGAGGTGAGATTCAGAAATAGAATATAATTGCAACTGATGTGCATTTTTAAGGGGTAAAGGTTTTGTTTGCTTATTGTAGCTGTCTTAAAGTAGGCTTTTGCTTTTTAAAACAACCAAAATCTTATCTCATGATTGACAGAACATGTCAATTCAATATTTTAGATTTGGAATTTCCTTGTTCAAAGCTATTGAGGACCACCATGTTACTCTTTGGTGACTCACAGGGTGGTCAGATTAAACTAGAGCTTGAAAAGTTCCTGCCACTCTCAAAATCACCTGGCAATCCTAGCTAGGAGATTCTGGGGGCTGACAATCCAAAATAGTAATATTTCTAAGTGCTGGTTTAAAAATATGATGTTCCTGTCAATTTCAGTAGCAAAACCTGGATGTATGTGGGATCTTCTTGGGGACGCGCATGCACATAACACATGGTTATGTTTGTATGACTTGTTTTTGGATGACATCCAAGCAACTATCCGCAGTAATGGAACAACGTGAGTGACTGCAATTGAATTGGCTCTACTTTGGATGGGGTCGTTTGTGTGCTTCTGGAGCTGCTGTCCACATTCTTGTCAGATGGCAGGGTCCAGATATAGTTATGAATTGAGTTATGAATTGTCATAGAGGACACGCCTTGGTCTTCCATCCCCCATCCTATTTAAAGGTGTCATTTTATTCTCCTGCATACTGGCTATTGTGTATCCTAAGTCCTCTATCTCTGCCCTCTTTGATTATAAATTTTCCCTCTTCTCCAAACAGGAGACTTCTGGCTCATTTCCACTGCATTTCTTGTGACCGGCCCTTAGAAATGGTGGTGCCTGGCCCGTAAGTATTTGCATAGTGCTCTTGCATTGCTTTTGTGCTTTGATTTATATGCACTTGGTTCAGACCCAGAAAAACGTATTGGTGTGGACTTTGCTGTTGTGTGCCTTCTAGTCATTTCTAACCTAAACCACTCCTAAGGCGATTTCTTGGCAAAGGGATTTCTTGGCAGGGATTTCTTGGCAAAGTTTGTTCATGAAGGGTTTGCCATTGCTTTCTTCTGAGGCTGAGAGAGTGTACATTGTCCATTGCCACCCAGTAGATTTCCTGGACTGAGGGGATTTGAAGCTGGTCTCTCTAGTCCAGTATTCAAACCATACAGCATGATGGCTGTCCAGGTAGTGTGACCAAGGAAGTTGTAGGCAAAATCAGTATCCTATTAAATTAAATACATTTAATAAACAGAGAAGCCAAGTACCCCAGTTTATTGTCCAAGCTCAGGTTACTACTTTTGGCTGGCAGCACAGCAGGGCATCCATCAGCCAGTCAGAGCCTGCCAATCAATGACAACAACTCTTTGGAGCTCAGCCAGGGACGCCCTCATCTTTGTTTGTGATTTTCCCCTTGCAAAACCTCACTGTTTGTTTTCTTGACAGGCACATCACAACACTCCCAGCTGTGCCAGGTTTACCTCCGCACCAATCCCTCCGGCCATACATGGTTTATGAAATGGAACAAATCAGGCAGCTAAACCGCAAGTATGAAGAACAGTGGGGCTTGTGATTTTTTTTCTTCGCTTTGTTTGTCCCCCCTCTTTCTCCTAATTCATATGTACACTGAATGGCAGGTGGGAATTGGGTGTGGTGGGGAGACTGGAAATTATGCCTACAGGGGAGAATGAACCAGAGAAAAGATCAGGAGCAAAGAGTCACAGTGATTTAGAGCATAGGGGCCTAAATCCAATTACTAGTCCCACCTGCAATAGCTGTGTTGAGCCAATTCGTGACTAGTAAGTCAACTTTTATGTAATGGGTATACTCTAACTGGGGCTAGAAAATGGGTCTGTAGGCAACTGCAGGTAGGCAACTGCACTATGGCTAAACCTCACCCTCACATTTCCTCCAGTGGGCTGCATCACCCACAAAAGGTTCTTTCCAGCTTCCATTTCCAGTTTTCCGGAGATGAGTTAAGATCTGAAGAATTAAATTATATAGGCTTGGGCTCCTCATGGCCTCCACGGTCTGAAACTGAGGGAGGTTTGGGACTACATGTGACCCATGAGCCATGCTTTCCTTACCCTGAGTTAAACCATTGCTTAATGTTGAGCCCTGCAAGAAAAGGAGGTGATGAGGAAATGGTTGGTAACCATATTATCACCTGAATGACAAAGTAAGATTGCATTTGTGCATCATCTTGTGAGCTGGGTCCTATTAGGTCTAATATTCTGTGTCACAAAAGTATGACTAGCCCAAAATGTCCCACTGTGCTATTTTTGTTAAATAATGGCAGGTCATTGCACTGGGAATCACAGTCTTCCAGTTTGTCTTAAAGATGTCATTGGCTATGTTGAATGGAGCTGTTCAGAGCTACAGCCAAACAATATTAGAAGGGTCACATGATTCCCAGCCTTGATGCAGAGAGAATTAATATGTTCTCCATCTCCCAGCACTATTGGAAGGGCTCCATTGCCCAGGGTCATGTAGCTAGCAGTAACAGTGCTGTAGAAGGGATTGCTACTCATGGTGTGTAAAAATTATTCAAAGTCCATAATCTATTGGAAATTCCAGTGCACCATAACCTTATTGCAAACGTAAAAATAATGTCATCTCCGTTTGGCAAAATGTGAATCTCTTTGAACATAGAGACCACTTGAAAACCACTAGTCAAAAGAATGGTATGACCTTGTTAGAAGTCAAGCCTAAAGACAAGTGATATTCACAAAGTATTAATGTAATAGCTCACAGGTAGCTCAGCTGTTAAACTGAGGAACCATGTCTTTAAACAGCCAAGGATAAAAACAGGCAACTGCAAAAATATATCTGGTTAGCAGAGGATGGTTGTTTGAAGTAGAATTTGCAGTTGGCCAAAAGATATACACTCCCTTAAAACATGCACTCAAGATACAAAACAAAGTAGCCTTCTTTGAAAAATAGCATACCTTGTTTACTAACAAACTTGTATATATTCAGCAACAGGCACATGGTCTTTGAAGTGTCTTTAAGCATATCTCTACTCACTCAAGTCCATGAGCACATACATCCACCTCCAAGGAGGTCTGAAACCAAACTTATCTCATTGAAGTCCAAAAGCAAACTAAACACAAAATGGAGTCCTGAGTTTGCACATGCTCAGTACAATCGCATCTATAACTCCTCCCACATCAAAGGGGTAAGTCAAATCGGCAAATCAACATACACATAGAATGCTGGTTAACAATTGTATATACATTAACAAACAGTTGGTGAAGGCTTGGAAGGTTGCTATTTCCAACAGAAATTCACCCTTCTTTCTCCCAGCAGCATTTTTAGAAATGTCCAAATGTTCTTAATGAATCAACATTAAGCCCAGCCATCGATAGTTGGTAGGGCCGTCTTCCTACCTAATAATCAGTACCCCCTAGCAACCGCTTGGTTTCTTATACCTGCAAGATTTCCTTCAGGAAACTTATCTGGTTAAGGAGGATGGCAGATACTATTATTATTATTATTATTATTATTATTATTATTATTATTATTATTAACAATGACAACAACATCATTAGTTTTGTACTCCACCTCCATCTCCTCGAAGAGGTGGATTACATACGACACAAAGTGCCTAAAAACAACACAAAATAAACAAACAGTATAATACCAGAAACCATCCTTTATCATCTTTCCATCTTAGGGAGCCTGATTGGTTGCATAGCTCTGTGTAACTAAGGGGGCAAGGAACTTGCAGTCTGTTTGCTTTCCCGTCCTTGCAGATTGTTCCCTCCTCCACTAAATACAGCAATTAGGTTTCAATTACCTCAATTGAGAGCATTTTAAAAACTGAATTACCATGTTGTGCAGGTGGGGAGAAAAAGGTTGACCCTTTGATATACCATGCAATAATTCCGACAGCACTGTACTTCTGATTCCAGAGGAAGTTTTTAAATTGTGTTTGTTTATGTGTGTGTGTGTGTGTGTGTGTTCATAAATGGACAGATGAATGTGTGTGAGAGTGTGCAGTGACAATGTCAATCCGAGGTATGCTCTTCCAACAGAAGGTTTATGGGAGGAATATAAGTGTAGGGTGAAAACGTTTCTCACTTGGCTGTACATTATCTTACTAGCTTCTGCTGCACTGATCTTTCAAGAAAGGACTTCCTTTCAACATATCTCCTTAACTTTGCCCTTTTTCCTTTCTGTTCCCTTTCTCTGCCTGCTCGCTGTCTTCCTGCCCTGGCATTGTGCTACATCCCCATTTATTTCTCCTATTCCACTGCCCCCCTCAGTCTGAAATTAGGGCCCGGGGCTCGTTTTGAAGCACTGGAGAAGAGCTCCAGCCTCAGCAAGCTGCGCCGCCTGCATTCCAAGATGCTCATGGACATCCAGAAGGTTCAGAGCCATTATAGCGGAGCACCAAAAGTCAACGCTCAGATGATCAGGGAGATACTGCAGGCCCAGTGTCTTGGCTCGAGCCTGTATGGCAGACGGTAGGAGAAAAGGCCTTTCAACAGTCAGTTCTGGGGTCCAAAGAGATGAGAGGCAAAATAGCACTTGGGGCAGACAGCCCTTGTCTCTCTGTCTGTCTCCATGCTGAGCCTTTGGTGTGGGACCCTTGAAATAACCACTTGGTGCTTCTAGATAAACACCACCAGCTGTCCTGCCACCAGCCTGTGGTACAGGCTGCCTCTAAACTCCTCAAGCATACTGTGGTAACAGTGGAGATGCAAAAGGAGCTGTGGCAGCATTGCCATGTTTAATAAACCCCAAAATCCTCTGGGCCTTCTCTAACTCCTTGTGTCAGAAGCAACTTGAGAATATACTGCAGGTCACTTCTTGTGTGAGAGAATTGGCTGCCTGCAGGGATGTTGCCGAGGGGACGCCTGGATGTGTTACCATCCTGTGGGAGGCTCCTCTCATTTCCCCACATGGGAAGCTGGGGTTGACAGACAGGAGCTCATCCTGTTTCATGGATTCAAACCACCGACCTTTAGGTCAGCAGTTAGCTGGCACAAGGGTTTAAACTATTGCGCCACCGCACTTGGTTAAAAAAAATGAAATCCCTTTAGATAGAAAGAGAAGAAAGTGATAATTCTTTAAATTCAAGATGTAGAAAAATATTAGTTGGTTGACTGATGATAGAAATATTTTTGGGATGTCTCCAGCCCCAAAGCATTTGCCCTTCCTCAGAATTGAGTGCTGATGCAAGACTTGAAGCAAACCTTGCTGGCAACTCCCCCTAAAATCCCAGATCAGAGGCAGAGTGCTCCCTGCCTGGAAATCCCTCTTAGGTGATTTAAGAAGCTGTTTTATGCTCAGAAAACATGGGGTTCCCAGTTATATTTGCATTCATACAGTTTTGTGAAAGGTTAACTGCAAGCCAGTCACAAGCAAATAGCATGTGGCCTGATTAGTTGTTACTGTTCAGCTTATTCCCTGCTTCACACGTGGCAAATAACAGAGAAGTCACTGTGTAGTTCTGCTGTGGGAAACCCCCACTTCTTCGTATGCACCCAGTATCACCTCATGTTGAAATAGTTGCCCGGAAGGGCTGTGTGTGGAATTTCTGCAAATTCCTATGCAACATTGAGTGCCATGTAAGAATTTCATCACGCCCAAAGTAGTTGCTTCATGGGCTTCTTTTTAGTGTATTTACTGATTGTTAATCAGAATGAATATAGATTTTTTTCTGGTCTAACTTGCTCTGTGGGTAATAAAATGTGAAATCCCAAAGCAGACTAAGAATCTAACAGATCTGTCAAACAAGTCAGACCTGATTGCTATCGCTTCACAGTATCTTTCATGATGTCTGAAGACTGACTCTTGTATCTAAAATACAGTTGTGACATACAAACAAAAACATTAACTGGCACTGCGGGAATGCCGCATGGTTTGCCAAGCAGAAGGTGCAACCCCAAACGCCAACAATCTATGCCATGAAAACTTGGCATTCATCTCACGGTTTGCTTTGTTGTTGGCTTGCCGTTGCTGCTCCCTCTTGCTTGTCTGCTCAGAATTGCTCTGTCTGCCACTCTTTCCAGATGTTGCCTTGTGAAAAGCTCTTCTGCTCTTTCAGTCTGTTTTGTGTGCTCGCTTGCTTGTTTATTATCTGATAAAATGCAAATGGGAAATGCTTAAAGATTTAAGGAGCCTGCTGGATTAGGTCCAACGCCTCACCAACCTAGTGTCCCATGTAAAGTCCACAAATGGGGCATGAGTGCAAGGGTTCTCCCCAATATATTCTGTTAACTTATGCCCATGAGTGCAAGGGTTATGAGTGCAAGGGTTCTCCCCAATATATTCTGTTAACTTATGCCCATTGTGCTGATTTTACAAAGTTAGGTCTTTTGGGTTCTAATGTTTCATGTTCTGTTTTTGATGCCACATTCTTGGTGAAGGATATTACATTGAGCCCCCTAAAACAACCCGGTGACAGACAGTACATGAATGACCACAAAAGAAGTCTACAAAAGATTGCAAAAGTTTAGTTCTCACACCAGGAGGCTCCAATGCACACATAAAACATGTTCTTTTTTAAAAGCATGTTGGATAAGATTTTCAAGTCAGGAGCTCAATTCAACATAAAGAATGTCATTAGTGGTCAAACACCAAAGCAGTTTTACTCTCAAAAGGAAGTGTAGGGAATTTAGGACTGCGAGAGGCTGTTGTTGAATATTGAAGTTCAATTCCAGTATGACGAAGAGCTGTCTGGAAACAATGCTTACTTTTTGGTGTTGTTTAAGAGATGGTTAGACCAGCTGAGTTTTGAGGTTTTGAAAATGTTAGTGCTGTGAGTGAAGCATTGTGAGACGTTAAAAAGGAAATGAATGTGAAACAAAGGCAAAAACAAAGACATATATTGGAAATACGATTTTCAAATAATCTTGGGCAGGTTTATTTAACACCAGACTGCTTGCACATTCTCTCTCTCTCATCTATATATCACTAAAATTGGTGTCTTACTTTCTCTCCAGGAAGGGACTTAAGACGGCTGATAAAAGCTCTGAAACAGGCATGGGGAACTTGTAGTCTTTCAGATGCTGATGGGCTACAGTCCTATCAGCAAATGCCAATATGCCGGGATGACAGAAGTTGGAGTCCAGCCCCTTCTGGTCTTACACAAACTTGAATTACTACTACAGTCAGCCCTCCAGTCCCTATTTGTGGATTTATTTTTTTGTCAATTTGATCAGTTGCAGATTTGATTAATCTGTTCTATTTCCTTCAGTACAATTATACGGTCAGTTCCTGCCAGAATTTAATCATACACCAGAGTACCTCGAGAAGCGTTCTTCAGATTCAAAAGGGGTTTATTTGCAGTTTTTCCACTTTCATGGGTCCTGCACCTCTTACTCCTGCAAAAGCAGAGAGCTGGCTATATTTTTAAATGGCAAGAAAACAATATTTACTGCTCGCTTTGATTGAATGTTTGTCTTTCCCCTGAAGGGAATCTGCCCTGAGTCCCTTCAGGGAGATAGAGTGGAATATAAATAATAATAATAATGCATGCAGATCCCAGTAAGGTGTCCTTCTGCAGCTGGCAGATGGTAATTTTGTCAGCTCCAATTGTGGTTTAAATGCAGGCCAGGGTCTTTAGGCACTGCACCCAGTGTGCCGATCACCACTGGGACCACCTTGACTGATTTGTGCCAGAGTCTTTGCAGTTCAATCTTTAAATACGCATATCGTGTCAGCTTTTCCAGTTGTTGCTCTTCAATCCTGCTGTCACCTGGGATTGCAACATTAACAATCCATACTTTGTTTTTTAACATGATCGTGAGATCAGGAATATTGTGCTCCAAAACTCTGTCTATCTGAATCCGGAAGTCTCAGAGTAGCTTGATGTGTTCATTTTCTGTAGCTTTTTCCGGTTTGTGATCCCACCAGTTCTTTGTCGCAGGCAGATGGTATTTGTGGCACAAGTTCCAATTAATCATCTGAGCAATGGTGTTATGCCTCTGCTTGTAGTCTGTCTGTGCAGTCTTCTTGCAGCAGCTGAGGATGTAAGGATAGTATTATTATTATTATTATTATTATTATTATTATTATTATTATTGAGCAGATTGGGCAGATGAAGGAAAGAAAGCAGTTAGCAAACAGTGACTCTCAGTGATAGTAGAAGACGTTGGAGGAACTGCGGCTGCTTCCTTTTTTGGGACAGCAGAGTTCTTTAAAAGCCCATTTAGATTGTTTGAATTGTGACTCTGAAAATGCTAATTGTCTCAAGCACATCGGTTTTTGCATGTAAAAAGGTAGAAGAACATAAGAGGATCTGCAGTAGAGCCATAAAGAGTGATATCTCTTGCTGTATGGAAAGAAAGTTCAGTCTCAAAATTTGAATCTTTTCTACACCTTGATGACTACTTCAGGCTTGGCGTCTCCAGAACAGCCTTCCCCAAGTCCAGTGCCTTCTCAGTGTGTTGGCCTATGGTTCCCATAATCCCACAGTTTAGCTGTCTGTTGTTTTGTGGGATTCGCAAGATATATGTGCAGTAGGCATGAGGATGGGAAGGCTTCTCCAATGCATTTGTTGTGTGCTTTCTAGTTGCATCATGTCACCACTCTGCGATTGAGGACATAAGTGATTGGATGGTGATCGTTTTCTCTCTCTAGTTTGATATCTGGAGCCATTTTTTTTCAGTAGGCTCCCTACCACCACTCATCTCCTTGTCGCCCCTGTAGCAGAGTAGTAGCAGGATGCTACCCATTACATGAGCAAAGAGAAGTCAGATCTTTTAACCCAGACAAACAGAGCCCATTATAGACCATGGCTCAGTACAAAAATGTTCTCTCTCAGAAAAGCAGGCCAGCACCCTATTGTTATTCCACACTAAAGTAAATGGATAAATAGATAGGATTTACTTATATGTGACCCGCCACTCAATAATAGGTTGTATGGGTCTATCCCAATTGTGCCTGATAAGATGTCAACCTCTGTCTCCAAAGAGTATATACCGCATGACTTTTAGAAACAAGGTCAATGCAGCCAGCTGAGCTTCCAATCACACTGGTTTTGCTCTCTGTCTCTGGGCTGCTTGACTTGGCCAGTTGTCAAATATTGTTTCCTCATAATGACAGACTTCCTGAGATGACAGACTTCAGCTACCTCAGCGTCCCACGGCACTGTGGAGGCAGCCACACCCTCACCTACCCTTACAGGCGTTATGGCAGGTTTCAGCAGTTGGCACAGTGCGTGCCACCCATCCAGGCAGACGAAAACGCCATGCTGGCAATGATGAAGGTAAGGGAATGTGGGGAACCTCAAAGAAGTGACCAGGGGGTAAAGAAATCAGTATATGTCTTTTGCTGGCCTGGTGGTGTAAGGACCATATCACATGAGGTGGGGAAAGTATCATTTCCATGAGATATTGGTGTCTAGTTGTTACTCATCACATTATGCTGTGCCCACTATGTAACTACTTTGTATTCTATCCATTCCTGGGATAAGCTTTTTAATAGATGGGTAAAATCTAGCAATGGCTCTCAGCCATCCTGCTTTTCCAGAATGGATTTATGTGCAATAATTTCCTTCTTCTCCAAGCAGTCAATGATATGAGTGGGCATGATTTTAAAGTACTACCATGAGCCATGGAGAGTTTTACAGTCCTTCCTTTCTGAGGAAACATTTCTTTGTGAGGAAGGACACTCATCCCTTCTTAGGTGCACTGCCTCCCCTGTCTGCCAAAGAAGCAATGACAGTCCTTCCTCACTGGGAAGACTTCTCACCAAGGAGGACTTTCATTCCTTCCTTGCTGATGTGTGTTGCTGTAACTGCAAATTACAGCAACGATTAATAACAATGAAAATCCAAAAGGTATGTATGCATAGAATAGGGTATTGGGAGTTCAGACAGTGCTGTTAGGGTGGCAGCCTGGAGAACAGATTGCATGACAATGGATCACTTAATCCGCCCTGAATCCCCTTGGAGAGAGAAGGCAGAATATAAATAAAGTTATCATCATCATCATCATCACTAAAGTAGTGCTAATTCACCCATGCAAAATAAGTGTGCTGAAGATTGATATCAAAGTGCAACTACAATGTTTGTGACAGGACAGCAGGCTTGTGTGATGAGATGTTGGAAAAGTTACTGCATTGACCTACAATTCCTAGAAATCCCAGCCAACAGAGACTGTGCTGGCTGGTATAGTCTGGGAGTTGTAGCCCAAAAGGGGAAGTTTTCAATATCTGTGTGGGATAAACCTTTGGGGAAAATGATGTTTTATGACCAGTTCTTAAGTGATGGGTCTGTTGGAATAATCTTCTAGCTAGGACTAGTTTGCACTGGATTTTTCATGTCTATGTCTGACTGAAATCTGTCTTTTGTTTCCATTTATCCCCAGCATGAAGAGGTAGATATACTGGGCCTTGATGGTCATATCTACAAAGGGCGGATGGATACACAGCTCCCGTCACTAAAGGATGGTAAATGTTGTATTCCACATGCAGATGGTGAATTAGTCCCCTCTCTCTTTCCCAGACATAGGTTCATTCAGTATGTATGTATTATAATTTGAAGATAGCAGACTGGGCTTTATTCTAAAGTCATGTGAAGCATTTGCCTCAGGCAGTGGAATATCTGCTTATCTCTTTGGCTGTGGCTTATTTCAAAGAAGAGACAAGGGTGGTGGCGGGTAGAGCTGTTCTTATCCATTGACTGAAGGCGGGTGGAATATACAGAACAGTTGCCTTTGTTGGGTGCTGCACTAAGAGCTGTGAAACCATTGAGCCTTACCCCATAATGCACATGAGAAGTGATGTAGAGAAATTACCAGATGGCTTACTAAATCATCAGATCTGTAAGAACCTTGCCATTACCAGATTAGTTAGTGAGGACCTTGCCACTACCAGATTATTAGGTAATGAGGACCTTGCCACTACCAGATTATTGATTGGGATGGACTACTGATTTGTGTCCTGAAGCATCTCTTCTCTTCTTTTTGCACTTCTCACTCCACAGGATTTTTAAGGTCGAGGAACAAACTTATTCGGTCCTCCTCGCAAAGGAATCAGCCCATCCTTGCTGATATTGCCAGTTACCCAGTTCGTCCTCACTCTGCTAAAATGTCTTTGCGCAGCCTGTCAGGTATGTTGAAGGCTCCAGATTGGTCAGGAGGATAAATAATTTTTATTTTACCAGAAGTTTAGATTTCATATCTGATCACTCCTTGCAGCAGGATCAAGCAAATGATTTATGATTCCTTCCTCTGGTTTGTGATGGAGGTTGGAGGGAATAGGTCAGTGGTTGTTGTATCCGCATTCAGATGACATAGTAAGCAAGCCGCAGAGCTTTTTCTTTTCAGCAGTGGACACAACTGGGCAGTGTGAACTAGCACACAGGTGTTCACACTTGTTCAGCCAGGACCCCAGCTTGCAGTGACATGTAGTTCTGCCTCCTAGAGTATTCTGCGGATTTCATTCCTGTCCCTTCTATGTAGTAAAAGTACCGTGAAGTAGTATTGAAATGCTTTTTCATAGTGTGTAGTTGATGCTTGTGACTATTTTGCAAACAACTGTTGTTGTTGCTGTTTTAAACAAAGGCTCCCAGTGAGATGACGGTCCCTGGTTGACTGATTCTAGGTCTGTTTGGAATGTCAGTGCCTGCCAATCCATCTGTCCTTTATAGAGAGCTCCCTTCTGGTAGCACCGAGGTGCTAAATGATCACATCTGAGTTGTAATTGCAAACACAGTCAGTTAGAACAATTGGACTACATGCCAGATTGATTGAAGAGCACTGCAGGAAATCATAGAGCCATTTAGCACAGCCCAAGAGTGCTGTTTACCTACCAGGGTCAGCCACTGAATCTTGAGCATATATATATGTGTGTGTGTATTTGCAGGGTTGGGTGGTTGGGGGTTATTGGATACAGGAACAATGCAGATTTGGTTCATATTAAAAATGCAAAATATAGGTCCCCTATAGAAAGTTTGGGAGCTCCTCAAAACAGACTTTGATGACTGGTTCTTATTGACAGATGTCTGAAGGCCAACACTGTCCTAAATACAACTGAACCCAGTGGCTTGCAGATTGGGGGGGGGGGGGGCAGGGAAGGAGAGATGTGCCAAAAAAGGTGATGCAAAGCAGGACTGCCTGTAGGGACCCATTTACAAGTGATGCTGTCAAGCGTTTCAGGTTTGATGTTTGTGAAGAGGTGTTTAACAAGATAGGTTAAAAAAAAACCAACAACAACCCTGTAGCATCAAAAACAAATTGTAGATGAGTGAAAGGAGCTGAGACCCTGCTGTTTTCAGTGTTAGATTTCATCAACAGAAAATACATTTGCAATTATGCTTCTTGCTAAGGAAGAACAGTGTCCCATCTGCTACTGCCATCTTTACTTTGATGATGAACAGAACAGAGTCTGTCTCCACCAGAGATTTTCACCCTTCCTTGCCCAGAGACCACAACATACATACCTGCCATAGTTAGGTCACAGATGTACCCAGTTAGGTTATAGTCCCTGGCAGAGCTTCAGAAGAACTTGCTCATGTACCGCATTTGACTGGGATTGCACTTCATCTGTGACAAGAGTCTGTTCTATCTAGCCTTGGAAAGCACTTCTGAATATACACAGCACTCTGCTGCTGCCACATTCACATTATAGCCATCCATGTATACCTGGTTTCTGAATAAGACATTGGTGGCTTTCAAGCTGACCTGCACCTCAGCCATGTTTTTATCTGCATTTATCTAGTTACTTTTTGGCCAAAAATGACATGCAAGGCAAAAACTCATACCATTTAAAACACTCAGAACATATTAAAACTGAAATAAAACAACAATTCAGCCGGCAAAGCTCGGTGAACAACATCCCAGCTTAGATGCTAAGGTTCTGCTTTGAATAAAATGTTATTTACCTGCTGGCAGAAGCTGGACTTCTGCTAGTGACTTACACCATGTGTATGTTCAGTTCAAGATGACAGATCTGGACCTATAATTTTGCCACTCAACATCAGGGTTACAGAACACAATCCCTGTGTATCTGCATGCCAAGATTATATACCTGCGACCCCCATGTAGTTCTCATGGAGAAGATACAGTAGGAAGGGTTCCATTGGAAACACCCCTTGGAAAGGAGTTTGAGGGTCTGGGAGTCACTACCAAGTAATCCCTTTCTTGCATCCCAATCAAGCATGCCTGTTCAATTTGTAGGGGCATAAGTAACTGCCTTATACTGAACTAAGTAGTTAGTTCATTAATCATTTACTACATTGATGGGGAGAGGCTCTCCATGATTTCAGGAAGAAGACTTTGCCATGTCAACCTGGGAACAGCAGGTGAACTGGAGTCTATTCTTCCACTGAGGTCAAATGGAAGCATTTTCATGCACGGGGAAGGAATGTGAGGGAGATCTGTCTCAACATATTGGTTAAGCCTCTTATATTAATGGCAGCTGGAATCAAACATAGCTATTTTTGTGTATTGCAGCAAAATCTATAGGGGATAAGTCTGTGGCTCCCGTCAGGATCAGTGAAGATCCTGGAGTACAGGACAGAGAAAGCCTTGAGCTACGAATGGAGGTTCCCTCAAGACAACAATCCACATAAACCCTGATGAACAATCCACATAAGCAGCATAACAGACAGTAATTTGTGCCTCAGATAATTTTTACCGATGCAAGCCAGACAATAAAGGCAATAAAGGGCAAAGTTGGAAGAAGACTGCATCAACATACTGCTGGCCAGAGGAAGATTTTCATCTTGTGGTGTGCCCACAGCAGGGGCCGTCTCTGTCTCTTCTGTACTGCAATGTTTCTGGGAAAAGATGGGTGGGAAAGGTAGGGACAAATTTCAGGAGAGGGTAACACTTCCTTCTGTAGAGATAAATAAGTCTATAGACCATTTATCTTAATTGTATTGATTACAATTCAATACAAAGTTATGTATTTAAACTAGTTCTAGAGAGTGAGATGATTTTAAGTGCTGATAATCCTCAGCCTTCCACCACACTGCACCCACTGTATGGTAGAACACTATATATCAATTATGTAAAGGGCAGCACTGTCACCTAAAAGAAAGAAAACCACATTTTTGAGCCACCGAAGTGCCATTCTCCATTCCAGTTGTGGGGGAAATGAGGTGGGAGAACACTGAGCTGCTGGGAGACACTTCCTTACAGCAACATCTCCTTGCAGGAACTGGACTACAAGATGTTTGGAGGAGCATACTCTAGCTGGCCGCTTTGTCCTAAATATTAAGGCAGTGCTAGGGAAAGTTACTTTTGGAACTACAACTCTCAGAACATCCCAACCAGCGTGCTGGATATAGTGCTAAGTTATAGTACAGGGTGAGGCAGCATAACTTCTTTTTTTTAAATGTGCGCCATTCAGTCGTTTGAAGATGTAGCGGAGCACTAGTGGTCTCGTTCGAGAGGAGGGAGTATAAAGTTTTGTCCTGGCACAGTTCAGTCGCCATCATGCACTGGAACAGTGAGAAGTGTGCTTTTGCCATTGAAACCTACTTTTCAAGTGGATTTGGAGTGGCCGGCCCACTCTCCAGATTTGGCCCCTTGTGATTTTTTTCTATGGGTTTTTTTGAAATCCCGTGTTTGCGTGAACCGTCCAAGGACCCTACAAGATTTGAAGACCAACATCCAGGAAGAAATTGCCAACATAACGCCTGCTATGCTGGCAAGAGTCATGACAAATGCCAGAAATTGGTTTACTCAGTGTATGGAGAATGGGGGACGTCACCTACCTAATTTGATCTTCAAAACTACGTAAAACAAAACTTTAGGTATGCGCCTACATTTAAAAAAATTCTGATTCATACAATGGGTTTTATTAAGTTTTGAAAAAAAAGGAAGTTATACTGCCTCACCCTTTACTAAGAAACAACATTTCCAAGTAGAAGTTAGTTTTCAACTCAGTAGGTTCGACTTACAGCAAAATCTCTACTCAGCCTTCACAATACACTTGAAATTTATATCTTTCACCAGAATTAGCAATTAACCATCCATTTCCACCATATAACTTTTTACTGTCAGACATTAATTTTAAAATCTGATTTATAACATACCAGCAGCCGTTCTGTGCGAAGCCATTTACTCAGAGCAAACAATAATCTTTATTTGGTATTTTAAGCACTGAGGCGGGTTCTTGGTTATAGAGTCTACTCTGCATCCATCAAAGTGAGTTTGCAGGAATGAGTGTAAAGTGAAAGATGACACACATAGCTATCTGAACTAATCTTGCCCAGAAAACCCAATGATGGGCTCCCCTTAGGGTCACTCTAAGTGGCTTGAAGGCACATAACCTTTAGAAGGGCATTTTGACTGGCTAGCTCCAGTTATTTTAGTCACACATGACAGGACCATGAGAATGAATTACCAACTTTGTACTGCTCAAAACTGCACAGGAAACCAGGGAAAATAGTTGTGGACATGTATTCCTTTGATCTGAATTGTTTGAACTGACCAGTCTGTTGCAGTTGGGCAAGCAAGTAATAACACGTCTGTAAGGCCAGAACTTTTAATTCCCTTGTGAATCTTAAATCATCACTTGAGAATTTCAAACCCATTCCAAAGCAAACAAGCTTTGGGTGGAAAATACAACATTTGGTTTCCTAGTATGTTTCGGTGCCTAGTTACATGATACAGAATGCAGTCAGACTAGACAAATATCACAGGCTGTCTCATAATGCAACAGAAGGGCTTTCTTGCATTTTTTTATGTGGAGGTGCTATCGCACCAGAGCTAGAGGATATGAATTGTTCCTGCAGTCAGATTGGATATGTTTTGAAGTTCTACATTCTGGTGGCTTCAGAGATCCTTCCGCTTTCCCTTGGCTGCATGACTTGGCACCAACGACTAGCAATGTCAGGCATTTGCCAGCTCTCTGAGACCAACAAATGGGACAGTGTGCCAACACCACTCCCACCTTCATTTTCATGCAGAACACTCAATAAGCTTCCTTAAGTGGCAGTGAGAGAAAAATCTGATCAACTTCTTCAGTTCACAGGCACACAGCACAAAACTAGAGAACCTACCTGGCTTCCTTCAGGAGTCTCTGAATGTCCAAGGAAACCAGATCAAAACAGGGTTAAGATTTGGTGTACTGAGGCCTGGAATGCTCACACTTTTCATGCCCACTGCAGGAAAAGGAAGGCTTGAGGGGCTGCCGTCTCACTTATGCTTGGAGACAGCTTCATAATTACTCATGGAGGTCACATGAAGAGAATTCTCAGGGTCTGTAACGTGTCTTGGTCCATACTGCATCTTTGTCAGGAAGGGTGCCGTGCTCAAATCTTCCCTACTATGGTAGCTAGCTGTGCCTGACATACAGCAGAACTTCCAGGAGATGTCATTTTCCCCCTCATAGTTAGCAACTCAAATTGCTGTTATCCCACAATGCATTTCAAGTTATGCCATGGAAAGGACCTGGATATTACTCCCACTTTAAATTTACATATTACAATACTCAAACATGTGTTTAATTGTGTAGTGGTTGAGCATTTTGCTTAATTTTGGTGATGATTGAGTTTTCTCGCCTTAATGGAAAGCTGTTACAAAATGTATTGCGTTTGTGCACTGTTCCCATTTCCACAGGACCAGTTTCTACCCAATGTCTGAAAAAAGAACACATTCTTCTTCTAAGAATTTTCTAGATCTTCCATTAAACTCTATGGTCTGCTTTCACTGGACGTTGGATCGTACAGTCATGCTGGAAGATATGGAAATGCTACAGAGGTATTCTCTCAGGTGTTTTCTAGATCATCCAGCATAACTATATGGCATGTTTCTGCTGGAAGTAATTTATCTCGACAGGATTCACTGTTATCTGCATTTCTACAGTAAGTCCAAGAACATATCCCTCGCAGAAATTGAGGTTATGCTGTATTTGGGGATTTATTACACTCACACAATCGTAGCATCTACATCTCTGTGTTATATATTTTAGATGAATGCTTACTGTATCAACATGGAATAAGAGATCCAAACAAGTCAACTATATTGGACTGGGGAGGATTAAGTTAGTACTAAATGGGTTTTAAGAGAGTGCTAATTTCAAGGACCATTATCAAGAAGTTTGCTAGAACTATACAGCAACAAAATATTTTTTAACACATTACCTAAGTTACGGAATTAAGTAATACAGAGGATGTTAGGGCCTTCAGCTTAAGCGGCTTACAAACTTCAGGTGAATTTATGGAAAATTGCCCCTTATTACCAAGTTATCAGAGTCATCAGAATTTGGCCAGGAAAGAAAGCATAAAAATGGGAAAATCACAAACAGAACAAACTCTTTTCCTTTCTTTTGATCTGTGTTTTAGATATCCAAAAATCAAACATGGGTGGAGCATTCAAGCAACATTACCTGCAACCTTGTAATTTTGCTTAACTCCATCTCCCTGCACTGAGGATCTCGCTTTTGTCAAAGACATTTCTTCATTGTCTCTGAGACCATGTCTGCATCTCAGACAAATAGGATTCGTGTGCCATTGATATAATTGCAATGAATTATGTCATAGAATGCAGGAGAATACTCATTTTGCATAACTCTCCCTTCACCCACACTACAAGAGAAGGTGGAGGAGACTCTGCTTCTCAGCCATTGAGCCCTGTCCCCCTCTCACTCATCTGCATCAAGGGGGTTTCTCCCACAACTTCATCATCTCCAAGAATGAAGGAGGACTACATCTTATTCTGGATCTTCAATGTCACCTTCTGTGTGCAGTCCAGATGCTTCAGGATGCCCACTTTTGCTTCCATCTACCCATGATACAGAAAGGTGATTGATTTGCCTGGATTTGAAAGATGCATACTTCCACGTCACTATCTGATTACCTCACAGATAATCTCAGTGTTCTGTACTGGGAAGCAAAGTATACCATATATGTACCCTTCCTTTCAGTCTCTGCACAGTTCCACTTATATTTGCCAAGTGTATGGCTGTGGTGGATGCTTGGCTTCATCAGCAGGGCATCGTTCTCTTTATATAGATAATTGATTATTGCTTATACACTTCTACTTTCATTGGGGCTCATTTTGAATTGAGGAGAGTCTCATCTGCATCTGTCCCAATTCAAAGAAGCTCTTATTAGATTTTCAAGCCCAGATCATGTTGCTCCAAGGAAACAGGTATTTCTTCTTCCAGAAAGCCACCCTTTGTTGTCTTATGGACATTTCTGTCATTCTAACTGATAGTAGGAATATGAAGCCTAGTATGTTTATAATTCTGAAGCTGTCCACCTATTTAGTTAATTCACCAAGAATTGCTTGGGGGTTGTTTTGAAAGCTAATGGGAGATCATGCAGTTTTGCTAGGATGCCACAGTTATGGTGAGAATGGTTTTGCTCTTCACATAACTTTTGTTATGTTGAACAAGCAGCAGCAAAAAAATAAATAAATCAGGATTTCCTTTTACTGAAATACATCTCTGTATCCTATCCAAATCCATTTTCTGCCTCCTCTTTGCTATATTTGATTTATATGAGCCAACTCCTAATGACTTGTTTGCTTCACCATGAAGAAAAGCAGTTGAAATTCCCAGAGGGCTTTTTCACTCATGATGTGGAAGATGCTTTTTAGTTTCTATTAACTCAGGATGGCTGAATGATGTGAACAACGCTTTACCCTTTTGACTCTTTCCATTCAGATTATAGACACAGGAAACAACACCCGCAGCGCTGCTTAGGAAAACACGCGGCATCAGATGAATGGGCAGGCGGTAATTTTCAGCTACCTGCCTAGGCAGCATTCACTTCAGTAACATAAAACACCATTGCGGTTCGCACTGCCACTTCAGTGCAGAGACTGGCATTTTTCTTTGCACTGCTCATACACATTATGGGGAAAATATTAACCATCCCATTATCCCCTGCAATGTTGGCATCTAGGCAAATGTTTGACTTCTAACGAGTCCTCTGCACATTCATTGCTAACTGGGAAAACCAGTCGAGTTAACACTAGGCTTCAGATCCTCCAGCAAAGGTTTTAACATTCAGATTTTGTGGTGCCAGCAAGAATGCTAAAGTAGCTTGGGGTCATCCTTAAACTTACAATTAAGTATTGATATGCTCAACAAGTAATTAATTCTACATAACAGCTGTTGAATCAGATTCAAAACATATTTCAACTATGCACATGTGCCTTTACTTGAATGGTTGACTTATGGCAACCACAGATATTTCATAGGGTTTTCTTGAGCAAGGAATACTAAGAAGTGGTTTCCCAGTTCCTTCTTCTAAAATATAGCCCACAGCTCTAGGCCTGTACAAATCAATATGTTCGTCCTGAAGCCCCATTGATTTGAATAAGGTCCACTCTGTTTTTGCTGTGCCTTTCAGTTATTAATGATATCGAGCTCTTTTAGGGGGCTCCTCCAGGGAGGAGAGCCCAAGGACCACACCAAAGAGGGTCCTGGATACCTTGATGAGATTTCTTCCGGAAGCCAATCCAAGAGCGCCAAAAATAATTAAAATCAAATAAGCTCACCAGAGACGAAAGGAGTCCAGCGATCGAGGCGTTTATTTGCGATTCAGCTGAATGGATGCGATACAGGAATCATTCCACTGCAAAGCATGCAGCACAAGAATTTCCAGGCATTTTTATACAGTGTAGAACAAAAGAAAGCAGTTTGAAAATCCCGCCCGCCCCCCTGTCAGCCGGCTTCACGCTGATTGGCTGAGGCTGGAACAGCTGGGAGGAGGTTTGACAGCCCGCCTCCGTCAGGAGCCAATGGGAGCGCTTCCTCACCTCGGGAGGGCCAATGGGCGCCCTCCGCTCGCTTCCTGGGTTCTGGCCAATCAGGAGCGAGGAGGCGGGACGGCCGCGGACAATGGGGGAAAGATGATGGGATTTGGGCTTTCCTGCCCACTGGAATGCGGGCTATTGTCCAAGGCGGGAAGAGGGTGATGTTTGGCAAACAAAGGGCTTTCCTGTTCCTGATGAGTCTGGCAAGGGATTTGAATAGCTGGATCGATACCGGACCGCCCGGAGGATCAACAGTATCTGGGTGATTTAATCAGTCCTTTCTTTCCGGGGCTCTGCTGACCAAACCCTCCTTTGTTGGCCTTGCTCCGATGACGAAATCGGGGGCCAGCAGCATTGTCCATGCAAGATGGGTCAATCAAGGGTGATTTAGGGAAAAGAGGCTTGGGCTCTTTCCCCAGGCAGTTCCTGGTCACGCCGGTTTCATGGGGTAAGGGGTCAAGGGGGTGAAGATACAGGGGAATTTATGAGGGACACACATCATATTCATAAAACACAGGCATCATTAATATACAGGCATTTCATATATCACAATCCACCACCCATCCCAACCCCAACCCATTAGAATTAAGAAAATATTTTATTCTTTATTTCATAAAAAGGAAAGAAAGACTAGAAATCCCAAAAAAAGTCCAGACGGAGGGGTTTGGATGCAGGGGCCAGCCTATGGTTTAGGCTGGCCATCAGAAGATCAGTTCACTTTCAAAAGCAGGAGCTGGAGCTGAAGGGGGAGCTACATTCCACTGTCCCGTCCTTGGTGGAACTAGCGCTCCCAACCGGGGATCGGGCCTCCCTGCCCGATCCCCCACTTCCAAGGCTTTCCCTTGGGCGACGGCGGTGGATCGCARGCGGCTGGAACCATGCTGGAGCGAGCSGCMGYRAGCRGAAYGRAGCAATGCGGCAAAAGCCGGCGAAATTTTGACAATCAGCTGGTGACTCGGCCRRATTTAATRATTAAACAAAAACAATTATTTCACGAGTGCAGGAGTCCAAAATGAGRARACCAAGATAGCAGTTAGTCTTAGAAKTTARTGTAGAAAAATATAAAAWTTGAACGGGCCCGATCCGCCATGTTGTTGTTTTGGCGGATARRGGGGSCCRWTAGARAAAACCTCCGTAWCCGCGWWTTGAACTAACRCAAAWTCGGRGGCCTGGGGARGCCAGGAAGGCRTCCCCAGTGAGCTCACRGTTCCCCGGAGCYCRGAARAAGGTTTATTTTGTGTTAGCAAAGTTTCAGGCAGTAWAGGGGACACAAAGTARCAAGCGGAAAAGATTTAAAGTTTCAAGCTTTAAGTGCTTTATTGGGGGATTTTGTTACAAAGAAAAGGGAGAGGGGAAAGTGAAAGAAAAACTTCATGCAGTCCTTTGCTTTGAGCTGCTGGCTGGGGCACGTTTCATCCGTTTTCTCCATTGGCGACCACTGGGAACTGCGGAACTCCCTGCCGCAGTGCAGACCAATTACATGGCGGGGGCTCACGCCATCATTCCTAAGATGAATCTATAATGGCTTTCTTGGCAAGATTTGTTCAGAAAGGGTTTTCCATTGCCTTTCTTTGAGGCTGAGTGAACCTATGGCACAGGCAAAATTCAAATCCTAGTTTCCCAGGATCATAGTCCAATACTAAGCCATGATGCTACATTAGCTCTAATGGACCCACTTCAAGATGGCTAAATCTAAATCACAAAACGTTACAAGACTCACCTTGAAAGTTCTGGATTTAGAGTCTCAGTGACTGTGGGCATGGGTATGCAAACACACACATTAACAGTTACTGTGCTTCTGTCATCAAATGAAGAAAGCAGCCTACTCGTGCTGCAAGTCTTACTACATTTACTGTTTATGCTGTTCCTCCTGCCCTTGAGGAATGAGAACACAAGCCGAGTGAGTCATCCAGCCTGCCTGTCTTGTAAATTGTTGTCAAATATCAGCCAGAAGAGAAAAGAAAAGTTACAAATTGCTTCCTGGAGTTCTCATGGGGGAGAAAAAAAGGTAACAGAAAAGCCAGCAATCAGCTGTATTGTTCTGAATGTAATAGTTAAAGGAAGACATGTAAAAACCTAATCTCTTATTTTACATCATTGAGTATGGTTAGATCTAAATGGGCATTGCTAAAAATTACCAGGCAATTTGGGAATGGCTGCTTTGTTTAGAAGAGGGTTGAAGCTATTCTCAAGGTTGTTTGGGATCTTTTCTCAATGGTTACTTTAAAAAAAACTCAAAATGTGTGTTCCCTACGTATTCTAGATCAGTGTTTCTCAAACTCTGCTCCTCTGGGTGTTTTGGACTTCAGCTCCCAGAAATCCCAGCCAGCTTACCAGCTGTTAGGAATTGTGGGAGCTGAAGTCCAAAACACCTGGAGGAGAAGAGTTTAAGAAACACTGCAAGGTCATCTCAAAGATGATCCCAACTGAAAGGCATTTGTATTATTTATTTATTTATTTGCTTGCCATATTTATACCTCACCCTTCTCACCCCTAAGGGAGCCCCCGGTGGCAAAGTGGGTTAAACCCTTGTGCCAGTGGGACTGAAGACTGGGGAGAGCGTGGATGAGCTCCCTCTGTCAGCTCCAGCTCCCCATGCGGGGACATGAGAGAAGCCTCCCACAAGGATGGTAAAACATCAAAACATCTGGGCATCCCCTGGGCAACGTCCTTGCAGGTGGCCAAGTCTCTCACACCAGAAGCGACTTGCAGTTTCTGATACTAAAAGAAAAAACCCAAACCCCGAAGGGGACTCAGAGCAGCCTTACAAAAAAGGCAACAGTTTGATGCTGCAGGTGAACTCTAGCAAATTTGCTCTCAGCCACGTTTCTAGTATTGAAGCCAATGGTTCCCAAGCTTTGATCCTCCACATGTTTGGGATTTCAACTCCCAGACAGCTTGGTCAACTGTCATAAATTCTGGGAGCTGAACTCAATAATACCCGAAGAACCACAGGCTGTGAACCACCACATTAAGCTAGAGACAGTGTCCTTTTCGCCAGCATATCTACTTTGCTATAGAGGTCACCAGTGGCAGAGGTAACAAAATTTAAATGCTCACAGGAACTGCAACAATTGGGAATGAGTGCAAAAGTCAGCTCTGGCAATGGAGACAGATGCCTTGCTAGTTCCTATGCTGGGATCTACCAGAGCAACTTTCTTTGGGAATGGAGACATCTCTCCCTGCTGTTCCTATCCCGCCCATGTGTTATATACACCTTATGACAATATAATGGGTTGTGATGCTGGCATAAATCAACAAGAGTTTGGCACATATTATAAACAAACATCCCATATCACTTTGGATTAGCTTTATCCAAAAAAGGAGAAGCAAAGGAAACATTACGTGAATTTCCTGCAAGCCTGCTTTGGTGTATTTGCTTTTCTTCCTTATTTCAGGAAACGAAAGCTACTTGTATAGACCACAAGAGAGGTGCAGATACTGGGCTCATTTCCTTCTGCAGCGTGGGACACAAAGACACTTTATAGCACAGGCCCAGGCATGTAGCCGGGGGGGGGGGCCTCGGGGGTCTTCAGCCCCCCCCCCGCCCCCCGAAATTCTCATGTGGTTCGCGAAAAGCCTTACTGGTGCATTATTTAAACTGTTATGTTTATTCATATCATGATCTGATCACCATACTCAATATATCCCATATATGGGGGTATTGGGGTAATGATAC